AAAAAAAAAAAAAAAAAAAAAAAAAAAAAAAAAAAAAAAAAAAAAAAATTAAAAAAATGAGATTATATCAAACTAAAAAACTTCTGCACAGCAACACAAACAATTAACAAAGCAAAAAGACAACCAACAAATTGGAACAAAATATTTGCAAAATATACATCTGACAAAGGATTAATATCCAGAATATACAAGGAACTCAAACAATATACATCTGACAAAGGGTTAATATCCAGAATATACATGGAACTGAAACAACTTCTTAATTGCAAAACAAGCAACCCAATTAAAAAATGGGCAAAGGAGCTGAATAGGCATTTCTCAAAGGAAGATATACAAATGGCCAACAGACACATGAAAAAATGCTCAACATCACTCAGCATTCGGGAAATGCAAATCAAAACCACTTTGTGATAACATCTCACTCTGCTCAGGATGGCTAATATCCAAAAGACTGAGAATAATAAATGCTGATGAGGATGCAGAGAAAAAGGAACCCTCCTACACTTTTGGTAGTACTGCAAAACAGTGCAGCCTTTATAGAAAATGGTTTGGAGGTCCCTCAAACAATTACAGATAGCTCAACCATATAACCCAGCTATTCCACTGCTGGGTTTATATCCAGAGGAATGGAAGCCATCATGTTGAAGGGATACCTGTATTCCCATGTTTATTGCAGCACTATTTACAATAGCAAAAAGTTGGAACCAGCCTAAATGCCCATCATGGATGAGTGGATAAGGAAAATGTGGTATATCTATGCAATGGAATACTGCTCTATTATTAAAAAAAGAAGTACTACCTACCATTCGCAGCAACATGGATGGATTCAGAGAAAATTATATTAAGTGAAATAAGCCAGGCACAGAAAAATACCACTTGTTCTCATTTATTTGTGGGAGCTAATACAAATAAATAAATAAATATACAAAAAAATAAGAGGGGGGAAGACACAACAATCACAACACTTCCTTGAACTTGTGAAGACAAATTAACAGATATGATGTTGATGGGAGTGGGAAGGGGAAAGGAAGCGGGGAGAAGGAGGAATTGGTAAGGGACACGAAAATGAACTGCATTGTATATTGATAAATTCAAATAAGAAAGAAATATGAAAGAAAATAATTCTGCCATAGTCTGAGTCTCTTAAGGAGAGGAATAGGGTTTTGATCTTGGAATATTTGATTTTCATAAAATGAAGTGCACCTACATTCTTTTTATTATTAATGTTTTAATAAAATCTACATGCTACATTTTTACAAATGACTGAGGGACTCAGGCATTTTTCCTTTGCTTAATTAACCTGGATTGCTTAAAACTGTATAATGCCAGATTTAATAATCTGAGGTGCAACTTTTTACTTCACAAATCAAAATATTTCACAAATCTATAACTCACTTAAATTCTTTCAAAAGCACATCTTAAAATAAAACATGTTTGAAATTCATATCACAATTTATGAAGTTATTTTCTATGATTTGGTCAATTAATTTTTCATGCATTCTGAGTAAAACCATCAGTTTGCAACATTTAGGGATATTAACAAGACACTGCATATATCATATGTGGGGGAGGCAAAATAGCAAACTGATAAATAAAACACATGCTCATTCTAAAAGTTACCTGAAAATATTAGCCTATTGCAGTGGCCTCTCCAAGTTCCGTTCCCATATTTTTCTCACCTGGTATTAAAACTAAATAAAGTTGATTCTCTCTGCCTCCCTCGACACAATACTAACTACTACCCAACTGAAAGAAGAAACTTCAGGAAAAATATTTTCCATTTCTCAAAGGTTACTACTGACCACACCCAATTGCCAAATCTAATGGTCTTCTGGTCCTAATCCTACTTGGCCTCTGTGACACTACTGATTCATTCCTTCTTGAAATTTGTCTTTCTTGACTTCTGAAGTACAAACTGTTAAACATTAGCTTTGTGTTTTGACCACTGAAACTTTGTGCTTTGAATCACCTGATGCTGCTGCGAAATTCTGAGGATTTTGCGAACTCCTCTGTCTGCTGTCAGTGGGCTTCTGAGCTTGCTCCAAAATAGACCGCTGAGGAACACTAATGAAAAGACAGAAAAGCATGTGTCACGTCCTTCATTCATAAGGGGAATGAACAACTCAACATAAAGACCAACAAATAGTTTTGCTTAAATATATGGTTATATATTGAATTGAAAAGAAGTGAAGCTTAAGTAATATTTTACAATTTCCATTATCCCCCAAACCTGCTATTTTATCTACAACAGAGAAACAATTTCCAAAATATAGAAATAAATATATTTCCATGTAGTATATGTTTCCTTCACATATGTTTATTTCTAAATTCCTATAAACTTTCTTTAAGCTAATATTTAGACAATATTATTACCTGGGTAACACAGCAATAAACGTAACCTTATAGTATATGTGAGTATTTTAACATAATAAACAAAGTAAGTTATTATTATGTTAAATATTCTATTATTATTATCCTGATTTTAAATGCTTTTAGTTTTCATGTTCCTGGTTTAGACAGATAGATGGATAACCAGATAGGTCACTTTAGTTCTTACTATTCAAATTCAAAGAATATTTAGAAAGTTGCTTTGGACCAGTGCTTCTAAATTTTATAGTTGCTTTAGCATTTCTGTTTTGGGAAGACTTTGTTTATTGATTTAGGCCTGGAACAGAGGGAAAGACATAAGTTTCATTTAAATTAATTTTATAAATTAAACCATATTTAAAGGCAATGTATTTGTTATTTCTAAATTCAAAAATACTTTCGTAAATTGAACAATCATGCCCAGTTTAACACTGACTTTTTATATAATAGATTTTATTAAAGTTATGTTCCATGATACCAAAAACAACTTCTCAAAGCGAAACTAGTTTCTTCCCTTGGAGATCAGAAGGACTATGACAACTCATTTACTGAGCGCAGAGAAAAATAAAGTACTTAGTCTTGCTTTAGAATTTTTCAAGATTTCTGAACACCAGTTAAATCTGAAGACATAAATGTATGAGGTTTTAAAAAATAATGAGGCCGGAATATATATACAACATAATATCAACACTAGGCTATCTGACCATACTGTCCAGTATCTTGGATATAGTGAGTGATCAATAAATATTTACTGAATGACTGAATGAATGAATATAGGCTAAATTCTGTCATTGCGAGTTGGGATTGGAGGGGATATGATTTTCAAAGAAAATCTACTTTAAAATTTGGCATTCAAATATAATATGTTGAATATAACATCTAAAATACAGAACATAATCTTTGAAAATTACTAAAGATCAAAAATATTACAAAGATCAAAAAATACAGTAACTGGCATCAATATTATATACAATATTTTATTGATTTAATATTGGGTCGTAGAATTGGCTTTGAATATAGGTCATTTTCAGTTTTGCCCACTCTGTGACATTAGCTTCTGAGATTAGGGATAAATTGTGTGTGTTTATCATGTAGTACATGCAATAAAAGTCACTTGGAATTTCATATCATTTTATCATTGATTGTCAATTGAATACTGTCAAAGAATTGTTATTGTTTCTTTTTTTTAATTGTGGAACTTGCCAGCTAATTATCAAACTAAATGACACAGAGACTACAGTTAGGTCCAAAGGTAAAAGATCTAGTTAGTAGACCATTGCATTTAAGATTTTAAATGTGGGCCAGTGATGTTGTCACTGGTATCTTAGTTTTGACTTCACACAGAACTTAGTGTTAAAGGAAAAAGCTTTCGTTTTCCATGCGATAATCATGAGTAATTTGAATATAGAAATCAAAGACAGATACCTTGAAGAGAGCTTGACATCTTGTGCATGATCCTGGTTGTAAGGCATAGATGTAGATCTTTCTGGGACCTTAAAGACACAATGCAATACTTTGGTAGAACTCTACATCATAAATTCTTTTGAGCTATTAATTTATGGGGAATGGGAAAATGCCTTTCTTCACGTTTTCTAAAAATTCAACTTATAAAATAAGATTTTCATAAATAGATGCTATTTTCATTATTACTTATAGTATAATATAAGAACTGTTTAGCTATAATTTCTGATAGTTATCTTTGAATTTTAGTATACAGACAGATTCTGGAGATAATATAACCAAAAATCCTAATTTTGTTGTTAAGAATCTGTAGTCAAGAGGAAAAATGAATTTTCTAAGAATTTTACATCAAGTCAAAGGAGCATCTAAAATCAGAATGTAGGTCTCCCAGCTCCCAATTTAATATTATTTCCATGTTATCACATTGCTTTTATACATCAAGCCTAAACTTCTTACTCAGAATTTAAGAATTTAAGTTCACATTTCCCACTCACTCACCCTTTTAAGCTAAACCTAGAATTTCAAAAGCTGTCACACACACACATAGACATTATTAAAATCTCTCAAGAGTCAAAACTGTCCCAAATGCATTTTCACCTCCAAATAAATTAATTTGGATTTTACTAGTTAAACACTCATCTAATACAGCAAAACACTCAAGAAAGGGCACATATAATGAGCCAGCTTCCACCAGTGATGCAAATTTACTTTCTGCCAACATTGGTAGCAGGGCCATGGAATGTTGCCTTGCTTTTTATTAGGTTTCTACTCAATAGTTTTTAGCTGCTTAAAAAAGTAGGCCATTCTGACATTCAACGAGTCATCATACTAGATTCTTTAGAAAGGAAACTCCAATGTGTTATGTTTTTTATAAACCTAGCATTTTTATATTTTCTAGAAACTATACTAGCCTTAGTCCACTATTTTTTCTCTATGAAGTGACTTATCAAGGCTGTCTTTGCACACAGAGAGGTAAGAAATGAAAATATTGTCAATCTTTCATGTTTTGCTAATGAGTGTTTCCAAATATAGCCAGATGTTTGGCACTATGTGGGATAAACATCTGCTTGGCTAACTTTTTCTGCTTTCAATTCAGATAGTTGGCATCAGACTGACCCAGTCTAGGCCTCTTGGTTTATGAAGCTGGTCTCAGAAAGTTTTTTGACACTAGTAAACCAGAAGCCAAAATTACTCAGAATAGATAATGGCCAAATATAAGAAAGACTGCCTAATATGAATTGGCTGTATTTGGTCTGAAAAATGGGGAGAAGAAAATTATTAGTAAGAATAGCATATACTAAGGCAAATGATGTATTCCAAATCAGACACAGATCATCATTACATTTCCTAATCAATGTGTCATGCTTAAGGTAATAATTATTACCTGAGAGTAGGAGTAAAGTCATTTAATAAAGCAAAGAGGAAGACATATTGCCTTTTCTAATTAAATAATACAATCCAGTTTATGTTTTTTCTGCTTGTGTTATTTATAAAGCAATAGCCTTTATTATTCATTTCAGAGGACTGCTAGCATCAGGGGACTGTATTTTTTAAAAATTGTCCATAAAAGACATCATAATAGACCCTTGTGAAGCATCTTGTGCTGATTAGGAACAAGAGAGAGGCTGCTGACCCACCAGCAATAAGGCAAGAATTCACGTCCTTCACACACTCACCTAATAATTTCCCTTTGTGGCGAACAAATTTTTATATGGCTGGATGTTGTAAGTGCTGGTTATGAGGATGCTAGTTTGTCTACACAAAAATTAAACCTACAACTCCGGACTCACCAATACATGTGCTAAATAGAATACTATTAGTGTAATCACGAAAACAGAAGTCAACCTGGACATTAGGACTGACGTAATTACTCCTCTAAGTGTAAGAAAATAAACCACAGGTTAAATGACCCAGGCCCTGTCACAAACTGCATCGGAGCACAGGGATAATCAAGGAAAAAGATATATACGATTGTGTTACAAACAACTACCTGCATTTTTCATGGGCAGCATTTTTACTTAAAGAATGACTGACACACAAACTATGATTATTGATTATTCAAACTTTGAGTATTTGGTAGACATTTTATTTTAAATGAATGAAGTAAATCTATCAATTCAAGAGGAAAAAAAATCCAACGGATGCTATTTGTTAGCAATGATAAAATTTGAGCTTTCAAGGGAAAGTTAGCATTTTTTAAATTATATGAGCATTTGACAGTTTACCAATGCTCAACAACTTCTATGATGAAATTGATGGTGATATTAACAAATGCTATTTTTTGATACTGTATAATGAAACATGTAAAAATTTGGGAAGACCTACATACACGATGAATCAATATTTTCCAATTGACCAATGCATAAAGTTTAAAATCATACATGTGCAAGCATCTATTCATAGAACAAGACAAACTAAAGGATTTTAATATTACAAAATTTCACTGATATGGTTTTAGATTCCATTTCTCTAGTTTTGGTATATTATCAAAGACTGTCCACCACAATTAACTCAAAAATCTATAAAAATTCTTCCTTTCCAACTAATTATTTGTAAGAGGCCAGCTTTTATTCATGTACCTCAACCAAAACAACATATAGCAACAGATTGAATGAAGAAGCAGATATGAGAATTCATCTTTTTTTCCATTAAGTGAGATAGATTAAAGAGATCTGCAAAAATGTAAAATGATATCATTCTCTCTAAAATTTTGTTTGGAAAATATAGTCATATTCAATTAAAATTGTGTTTTTAACGTTAACATGTGATGATTTTATTTCTTTTTAATTAGTTAAACATTTTTAATTTTTTGGTCTTAATTTCTGATAAGCTAAATATTGTATGACACAGTCCATATAATAAACAAAAGCTTTCTGGGGTCCTCAATGTTTAAGAGTTTCCCTTGACCCTGAGACCAAAAAGTTTAAGAAGCACTGTTTTAGGCATTTATTAACGTCACAGCAACACATATAGAGACATTTACCTCATTTGCTTTAGGATTCGGAACATATGGCTCCAGAGGTTCTATTTCAACTTCAGCCTGAATCGGATGAAATACTTCATGGTTTGATGACTCATCTTCTTTGTCCTTTACAAAAAAAAGGAAAATATTTTAATTGCTGTTAAAATGGAAATGATAGGAACAACTGCATCATCCTAATACATAATTTAAAAGAATAATTTCCAAATATTAAAAATAATTGAAACCAGTACTTTCTAAAGGTTTTAGTTCTAATCCTTTCAAAATCTCAGGAATGCTACAAATTGTCCATAGAATGCTGCAGATAGACATGCATATTTGCATATATTTTCAAGGGGATCACTGACCTGCTAAAGCTCATCTAAGGGATTAAGGTGAAAAAGATCTGGTTATGATATACTCATAGCCCCTTACTGTCACATTTAGTAAACTGTTTTAACTCCAAAGTTTGGTCCTCCTGAGCAATGGAAGATCTCTAATACAGTGGTGAAAATATTTCTTCCTAATCAAGCTCTAGGAGTTGAGGAAACTTTTTTCCCTTTTTAAGTCAATCAATATTACCTCCTCAAAGAGTGTGATGAAAATATGTCTTTTCTTTTCCTATTGGTGAGAGGAAGCACCCGGATATGTCTCTAAACTCTAATAAAATTTCAGGTATCACTCTCAACACTCCTATTTAACATAGTAATGGAAGTACTAAACAGAACATTCAGGCAAGAGAAAGAAATAAAAGGCATCCAGATTGCAAAAGCTGAAGTCAAACGGTCCCTGTTTGCAGATGACATGATCCTATATAGAGAAAAACCTAAAGACTCTACAAGAAAACTCTGAGTTGATAGATAATTTCAGTAAAATTTCAGGATACAAAATCAACATGCAAAAATCAATAGCATTTTTATCATACAACAAGGAACTAGCAGAAAAAGCAATCAAGAAAGCAAGCCCATTTAAAAAAGCGACACAAAAAATAAAATGCCTAGGAATAAATTTAACCAAGGAGGTGAAAGATCTCTACACTTGAACCACCAATCACTTTAGAAAGAAATTATACAGGCCTGAACCTGCTGACTCCCAGGCCCTGAGGGAGGCAGCAGCACCAAACCCAGCAGGGCAGCAGGCCCAGGCGAGTCCCCTCCCCTGACCAGGCTGACCCACAAAACCCCAGGTGCCAAAAGAGGCAGCAGCTCCGAACAGGCAGCCCCTGTGGAATCCAGGACAGACACTAGGGTGGAACAGTGGACTGTGAAACCCTCTGCTACAATGACTAAACATCCATGGAGAGTTAACAGAAATATGAAAAATCAAGAAAGTAGGACACCTCCAAAAGAATATAAAAACTCTCAATTTCTAGATCCTATAAAAAGAAAATCCTTGAAATGACGGACAATGAATTTTGAGCAACAATTCTACGGAAACTAAATGAGATACAAGAAGATTCAGTTAGAGAGCACAACGAAATGTGAAAAAGTCTACAGGACCTGAAAGAAGAAATGTGCAAAGAAATCAGTGCCCTGAAAAAGAATGTAGAAGAGCTTGTGGAGCTAAATGAAACATTCAACAAAATAAAAAACACAACAGAGCCTTTAACCAGCAGGCTAGAACAAGCAGAAGAGAGAATTTCTGACTTTGAAGATGGCCAATTCAGAATAACATAGGCAGAAAGAAAAAGAAAAAAAGAATTTAAAAAACTGAAAAAAATCTGAGAGATAACAGACAACCTTAGGTGCTCAAATATCTGAATCATGGGTATTCCAGAAGGGGAGGAAAAGGAAATGGCACTGAAAACATATTCAATGAAATGACAGCAGAAAACTTCCCAGGTATAGGGAAAGACACAGATCTTCAGATTCAGGAGGCTCAGAGATCCCCAAATATAGAAAAAGGTCTTCTCTAAGAAATGTTATAGTCAAATTGACAAAACTTGAAGACAAAGAAAGAATCTTTTTTTTTTTTTTCCCCTTTTTGTCTTTTTTTGTGACCGGTAATGGGATCGCAACCCTCAGTGTCGCGCCCGTACCACGACCAGCAACGGGATTGCAACCCTCAGTGTTGCGCCCGCACCGTGCTCAACCAGTGAGCGGACTGGTCTCTATATGGGATCCGACCCCGCGGGGGGAGTGCTGCCGCACTCCCAAGCGCCGCACTCTACCGAGTGCGCCACCGGGCCGGCCCAAGAAAGAATCTTAAAAGCTGCATCAATCACTTGTAATGGAGCCCCTATCAGATTAACATCAGACTTTTCATCAGAAACCCTAAAAGCCAGAAGACAATGGGATGATATATTCAAAATACTAAAAGACAAAAGTTGCCAGCCAAGAATACTTTACCCAACAAGGCTATCTTCCAAAATGAAGGACAAATAGTATACTTCTTAGACAAACAAAAACTACGGGAGTTCACTACCATACAACTAGTCTTACAAGAAATTCTCAAGGGTGTATGAAGTCTTACCTGAAAGAAAAACCATCACTACCATGAATACTCAAGAAAGAGCAAATCCCACCAGTAAAATAAAAATGCTAACAATATAGAGAGAACAAAAAGCTTATGTACCACCCCAAGAAACCAGCAAATACAGAAGACAAACAGTAAATCAGAAAGATACTTTAAAAATCCAAACAAAAAAAAGTAAAATGCCAGGAGTAAATTAACACCTTTCAATAATAACTCCATGTAAAAATACTAAATTCCCCACTCAAAAGACATGGACTGACTGACTGGATTTAAAAAGATGGACCCAACAATATGCTGCCTTCAAGAGACTCACCTCACCTGTAAAGGCACACATAGACTAAGAGTGAAAGGATGGAAAAAGATATACCATGCAAACAGATATGAAAACAACTGCAGTAGCTATTCTTTTATCAGATAAGATAGACTTTAAACCAAAAACCATAAAAAGAACTAAAGAAGGCCACAATATAATGATAAAAGGATCTATCCATCAAGGAGACATAACTATCATAAATATACACACGACATCAGAGCACCCAGATTTATAAAGCAAATATTATTAGACCCAAAAAAAGAGATAGACACTAATACCATAATAGCAGGGGACCTGAACATCCCACTTTCAGCATTGAACAGATCATCTGGCAAAGAGTCAAGAGAGAAACACAAGATCTAAACAACACTTTAGACCAATTGGAATTGGCAGATATCTACAGAATATTTAATCAAACAACCTCAGAATATTCATTGTTCTCATCAACACATGGAACATTCTCTAGGATAGACCACGTTAGGTCACAAATCAAATCTCAACTTTTTCAAAAAAACTGGAATTATTCCATGTATTTTTTCAGACCACAATGGATTAATATTATTTATCAATAACAAATGAAACTCTGGAAACTATAGAAACATGTTGAAATTAAACAACATCCTACTCAATGGCATATGGGTCCAAGAAGAAATTAAAGAGAAATTCAAAACATTTATTGAAACTAATGAAAATAATGACACATCATATCAAAACCTGTGGGATACTGCAAAAGTAGTACTAAGGGGGAAATTTATTGCATTAAATGCTTACTTCATAAGAATGAAAATATGGCAAGTAAACAACCTAACACTTCACCATAAAGAACTAGAAAAACAAAAACAACCCAAACCCAAAGTTAGTAGATTGAAAGAAATAATTAAGATCAGAGGAGAACTAAATAAAATAGAAAACCAAAAAATGATAGAAAAGATCAATGAAATGAAAAGTTGGTTTTTTGAAAAGATAAATAAAATTGACAAACCATTAGCAAGGCTAACTAAAAAAAGAAAAGAGAAGACCCAAATAAAAAAAATTGAAATGAAAAAGGTGATATTTCAACTGATACCTCAGAAATACAAGGAATCATTAGAGACTACTATAAACAACTATATGCCAACAAATTTGAAAATCTGGAGGAAATGGATCAATTTCTGGACACACAATAACGACCAAGACTGAGCAAAGAAGACATAGAAAACCTGAACAGACCAATAACAATCAAAGAGATCAAAGCTGTTATCAGCAGTCTCCTGACACAAAAAAGCCAAGGATAGGATGGCTTCACTGCAGAGCTCTACTAAACCTTCAAAGAAGAATTAATGCCAATTCTTTATAAACTATTCCAAAAAATTGAAACAGAAACCATTCTCTCAAACTCATTCTATGAGGCAAACATCACCCTGATATCAAAACCAGACAAAAATACAACAACAAAAAAAGAAAACTACACACCAATATCCTTGATGAATATAGATGCAAAAATCCTCAATACTATCTAATAGAATACAACAACACATACATAAAATTATACACCATGATCAAGTGGGATTCATCCCAGGAATGAAAGGTTGTTTCAACATAGGCAAATAAATAAATGTGATTCAATTCACCAGTAAAATCAAAGACAAAAACATATGATCATATCTACAAATGCTGAAAAAGTATTTGACAAAATTCAATATTCATTCATGATAAAGACTCTCTATAAATTGGGTATAGAAGGAAAGTATTTCAACACAATTAAAGCCATATATGACAAACCCCCTGCCAATATTATCCTGAATGGGGAAAAAGTTGAAAGCTTTTCCCTTAAGAACAGGAACTAGACAAGGATGCCCACTCTCACCACTCCTATGCAACATAGTGTTGGAAGTACTAGCCAGAGCAAATAGGAGAAGACAAGGAAATACAGGGTATCCAGATTGGAAAAGATGAAGTCAAACTGTCCCTGTATGCAGATGATATGATCCTACATATAGAACAGCCTAAAAACTCTGCAAAAAAACCCACTTCATGTTGATAAAGGATCTCAAGGAAAGTTGCAGGATACAAAATCAATGCACAAAAATCAGTAGCATTTCTTCAGTCCAAAAAAGAACTAGCAGAAAAAGAAATCAAGAATGGTATCCCATTTACAATAGTCATCAAAAAAATAAAATACTTAGGAATAAAGTTAAGCAAGGATGTGAAAAACCTCTGTGATGAGAATTACAAACCACTGTTGACAGAAATTAAAGAGGGCACAAGAAGATGGAAAGATATCCCATTCTCTGGAACTAGAAGAATTAACATTGTGAAAATGTCCATACTACACAAAGTGATCTACAGATACAATGCAATCTCCATCAATATTCCAATGACATTTTTCTCAGAATTGGAAAAAACAATCCTAACACTTATAAGAAATAACAAAAGACCACAAATATCCAAAGCAATCCTCAGCAAAAAAAATAAAAAATAAAATAAAAAATAAAATAAAAAAAATAAAGCTGGAGGCATAAGACTACCTGACTTTAAATTATACTACAAAGGTGTAATAACCAAAACAGCATGGTACTGGCATAAAAATAGACACAAGGACCAATGCAACAGAATAGATAAACCAGAAATCAACCCATACACCTACAGTCATCTGATCTTTGACAAAGTCACCAAGTTTACACACTGTGAAAGAGACTGTCTAATCAGGAAATGGTGCTGGGAAAACTGGATATTCATAATTAGGAGAATGAGACTAGTCCCACATCTCTCACCATACACCAAAATCAACTCAAAATGTATTTAAGAATTAAATATACACCCTGAAACAATAAATCTCCATAACAAAAACATAGAGGAAATACTCCAGGAAGTAGGACTGGTTACAGAGTTCATGAATATGACCTCAAAAGCACAGGCTACCAAAGGAAAAATAAACAAATGGGATTATATCAAACTGAAAAGGTTCTGCAAAGCAAAAAAAAAAAAAACAATTTATATAGAGTGAAAAGACAACCAACAGAGTGGGGGAAAATATTCCCAAAATATACATCTGACAAAGGATTAATATCCAGAATATACAAGGAACTCAAACAACTTAGTAAAAAAACACGTAAACCAATTAAAAAATAGGCAAAGTAGCTGAATAGCCAATTTTCAAAGGAAGATATATGAATGGCCAACAGACACATGAAAAAAAGCTCAACTTCTGTCAGCATTCAGGAAATTAAAATCATAACCACTTTGAGATAACACCTCACTCCATTTAGGATGGCTAATTGCCAAAAGACTTAGAATGGTAAATGCTGGTGAGGTTGCGGAGAAAAAGGAACCCTCATTCACTGTTGGTGGGACTGCAAAATGGTGCAGCCTTTATGGAAAATGGTATGGAGGTTCCTCAAACAAATACAAATAGATCTACCATATGATCAGCTATTCCACTGCTGGATATATACTTAGAAGAATGGAAATTATCATGTCAAAAGGATACCTGTGTTCCCATGTTTATTGCAGCACTATTCACAATAGCCAAGAGTTGTAACTAGCCTAAACTCCCATCATCAGATGAGTGGATAAGGAAAATGTGGTATCTCTCAATGGAATACTACTCTAGTATAAAAAAATAAAATACTACTATTCACAGCAACATTGATGGACTTAGATAAAACTATATTAAGTTAAATAAGCTAGGCACAGAAAGAGAAATGCCACATGTTCTTACTTATTTGTCAGAGCAAAAAATAAATAAATAATTAAATATACAAACAAATAAATGGGGGGGAGAATAAACAGCAATCACAATTCCTTGAACTTGTTAAGACAAGTAAACAGATATGATGTAGATGGGGGAGGGGTTAGAGGGAGGGGGGAAGGGAGGCATTGTTAAAGGAACATGATATTCAACTGCACTGCATATTGAAAAAGTAAAATAAAATAAAAATGAAAGAAATTATAGAGGACAAAAAACAATGGAAAGATATTCCATGCTCTTGGATTGGAAGAATTAATATTGTGAAAATGCCCTTACTACCCAAAGCGATCTACAGATTTAGTGCAATCCCCATCAAAATACCAATGACATTATTTCCAGAAATAGAAAAACATAATCGTAACATCCATATGGAACAGCCAAAGATCCCAAATAGTAAAAACAATCTTGAACAAAAAACAAAAATAAAAATGAAGCCAGAGGCATAACACCACCTGACTTAAAATTATACTACAAAGCTACAGTAACCAAAACAGCATGGTACTGGCATAAAAAAACAGACACTTGGACCAATAGAATAAAGAATCCAGAAATTAACTCACAACATACAGCCAACTCATCTTCAACAAAGGCACCAAGAATGTACATTTGGGAAAAGACTGCCTCTTCAATAAATGGTGCTGGGAAAACTGGACATCCATAAATAGAAGAATGAAACTAGACCTGTACCTCTCGCCATATACCAAAATCCATTCAGAATAGATTAAAGACTTAAACATTAGAAAACTATAAAGCATCTGAAACTTAAAAGTCCTAAAAGAAAACATAGGGGAAATACTTCAGGAAGTATGAGTGGGCAAAAACGTTATGAGTATGACCCCAAAAGCACAGGCAACAAAAGGAAAAATACACAAGTGGGATTATATCAAACTCAAAAGCTTCTGCACAGCAAAAGAAACAATTAAGAGAGTGAAAAGACTACCTACTGAGTGGGAGAAAATATTTGCAAATTATGCATCTGTTAAAGGGTTAATACTCAGAATATACAAGGAACTCAAACGACAGTAAAATACCAATAACCTGATTAAAAAATGGGCAAAGGAGCTGAAGAGGCATTTCATTTAGGAAGATATACAAATGGCCAGGGGACACATCAAAAAATACTCAACATCACTCAGCATCAGGGAAGTGCAAATCAAAAACACTGAGATATCATCTCACACTAGTAAGACTAACTATTATCAAAAAGACAGAGAAAAGCAAATGCTAGTGAGGATGTCGAGAAAGGGGAACCCTCTTACACTGTTGGTGGGACTGTAAGTTGGTGCAATAATTATTGAAAATGGTATGGAGATTCCTCAAACAACTACAGATAGAACTGCCATAAGATCCAGCAATCCCATTGTATATAACCAAAGAAATGGAAATCATCAGGTCAAAAGAATACCTTCACCTCTCCCATTTTTATCATAGGTCTATTTATAATAGTCAAAAGTTGGAGTCAACCTAAATGGTCAACGTTAGATGACTAGATAAGGAAAATGTGGTGTATATATATACACAAGAGAATACTACTCCGCCATAAAAAAGAATGAAATTGTGCCATTTGCAGCACCATGGATGAGCTTGGAGAAAATAATGTTATGTGAAATAAGCCAGGCACAGAAGGCAAAATACCAAATGTCTTCACTCTAAGTGGGAGATAAAAATAAACAAATAAAATTTTAAAAAGAAAGATACAACAATCACAATAATACGTTGAACTTTCAGAAGGCGAGAAAAGAAGTGAAGTTACCAGAGGAGGGGTAGGGGAGGGGGTGTAAGGGAGGAATTGGTGAAGGGACACAAAAAATGATTACACTGGTCTATATTGAACTTTAAAATAAAGCATTTATAAAAAATGTAAATATAATTTCAGATATTTCAAAAGACCTATGACTTGGACTATAGTCTCAATAATTTTCTTTTACTTTATGCTTTCTTTAAGGACCACACATAAAGACATGAATGCCCATACAAGAGCTTATGGTCCTCAGACTGGTAATGAGTATTTACAGACTTTTTCATTCTATATTAGAATGGCTTCCCACATATATACTTAAAACAATGAATGACAGTAAGTATGTGCCATGTTGGTAATACTATGAGTCTTTCAGAGATAAATAATCATCTTTTTCATAAATGTAAAACCCATTAAATCTAATTGGTTACTAGAGTTCATTAAGAGTAGTTTTTACCATTTTAGATGCCTTAATTTCTGCCAAATATTATCATTTTAGAGTCATACATCCCCTTCTCCACCTGGTTTCTTTCTTTTTATATCTCCCTCTTTGTCTGCAAACTGTCCATTTCCCCATTTGGACATTTCTTCTCTTGCTGCTTTTACCATTGTTCATGTTAAATGTATCAGGGAATTAGCATTTGTTCAATTGGCTCAATGTGCACAGACAAAAGAATTTCTTATCAAGATATTCAGACATGGTTCATTTGTAATTACTACATCAATTATTATTAGGTAAATGGGTGTGGATAACAGGGTTTAATTTAGGATCATCCCAATGATTCCCTTTACATAAATGAATGCTTTATGTATGTTATTAGAAAACAACTGTTCTCCTAATCTTGTCTAACTTCATTAATTTGTTTATCAAGCCCAGAAACTCTTCATTATCTGATTAGGTTTGCCAAATAAATTCGACAATTCCAGTCTCATTATGTCAACTTGTATTAGAGGATTTTGAAAAAATGGTGTTTTATTGTTTGTTTCACATAAAATAGAGATTAATATATTATATTCCACATTTCGAAGGGCACAGGGACCTATTTGTAACCTGTTTCATGTACTGTGCAGACACGTCACTGATTAATTATGTAAAATCAGTGGCAAATGACTTAGACAAGTCATAAAGATGGTAAGTGTATATGGAATGTTTTGGAAACTGCCTTTCCTTCTCATTATAACATCCTAAAGTATAAAAATGAACGTAATTCACTCAAATAATACTGTTCAGCATTCTGTGTGAAGAAAGAGCAAATTAACTTACAAGTTAGGGAAACAAAACCAAATTTGTCTTTGTTTTTGTTTTTAATAAGTTATCTTTGACATTTTAAATTACAAAAGTTATTTTTAAAAGATTCAAAATAGTAATTTAAAATGTGCAAAATGTGCAGATGGTGTCCTTTTATTGGTTAAGGAAATAATAAGTAGCAAATGAATAATTAAAGCTGTATTTCCATAGAGATACATTAAGCAATTACTTGCATCATTCAAGCAAAATTTTTTTCTCACATTTAGTCACAATTATCTAGAAATTTCAGGATAATTTTTTGAAGCACAAAACATATTGTAAATCTGAAGAAAACAAGGATATATATTTTATTTGATTTTACAGAGGAAAAACAACTAGCACATTTTCTCTGCATTTTTGACTCAGTAAAGATATCAAAAACTCTTACATTTTCAATTTGTCTCAATTCCTCCTCATGCTGATTAAAGATATCCTCCCATCTGCGTTGGTGCCTTCGCCTGTGGGCTTCTAGATCTGAGAATTCCAGCTCTTCAGGTCTCTGTGATGACTTTGCCCTAAATTTCTTTGGTGACAGTCTTTTTGCTAGTGCCTGCCTTAGACTAGAAACTTTTGATTTTTTCTTCTGTGCCTGTTCTGGTTGAGAGTAAAACACGTTTGACGACAGGTTTTCCATCAGGGTTTGCAGTGGACCAAGTGGCTTTGAGTTATGGGAGTTCGGTGCTCTAAGCAAGTCTCTTGATAATCCCTCTATTAGTGCTTGAACTGAGCCAACTGCCTGTGGGGGCTCTAGGGCCCAGGCCTGTGCCTGAGGTGACCCTTCTGTTTGCCCCTTTATGGGAACGAGCACCTGAGTATCCAAATGTAGTGGCAACAGCACATGGTGGTTCTGTGACAGGAGGGGCAGGAACACCTGGGCATGCACGCGTAAGGACTCAGGTTCCTCCGCCTCTGTCTCTGCTTCTGCAGGCTCAACGGCCTCTTCCTGTACCTCTGGTTGTTCAGGTGCCTGGTTCTGTTCCAGCTGCTGTTCAGGTACCTGGTTCAGCCTCTGCTGTTGTTCAGGTGCCTGGCCCTGCCTTTGGTGTTGTTCAGGTATCTGATCTTGCCCCTGAAATTCCTCTGGCACCTGGTCTAGATCTTGTGTCTGTTCTGAGGCCTGGGCCTGGTCCTGCTGCCCTTTGGATACCTGGGCCTGTACCTGTAGAGGTCTAGGTGCCTTAGCCTGAGCCTGTAGTGGCATGAGCACTCGGGCTGCCCTCCATAGTCGTGGAGGTGCCCTAATCTGCATCTGTAGAGGCCTAGATGCCTTAGCCTTAACCCGAGTGTGTAGTGGCATGAAAACCTGAGCTGCCCCTTGTAGTCGTCGAGGTGCCCGAGCTTGCCCTTGTAGAGGCCTAGGTGCATTGTCCTGAGCCTTTAGTGGCATGAACACCCTGGCTGCTCCCTGTAGTTGATGAAGTGCCTGGACTTGTGGCTCTTCTTGATCAGGTAACCACCTTGGCTGAGAAGGTTCTCCATGCAGGACTCTAAGTGGTCTGCATCTGCTGCTGGTTGGCAATCTCAGAAGCTCATGAGTGCAAGAGGGTCCTCTGAAATAAAAATATAAGTTATTGCCATACAATTAAAATTTTCAGTGGAATAGAGCCATTCAGGGGAATTGCTTTTATTTTAAAAGATGGACATTTTCTTCAACAAACATATTTTCAGTAAATCTTCCTGGAACAATTCCTGTAATGTCTAAAATATCCCACAGGTAACATTTGTATTACCAATATATTCAATTATTAATGGAGTCTGATACTACTTGATCATTCTATTGACAGATAGTAAGGAGTCTTTGGGTAGTAATAAAAAATTCTCCTCAATATTTCTACTCAATACCTCTTGAAAACAGTCTGTGATTTGTTGTATCAGAAAGGCTTGTTTTTTTGAGTCAAAAGCAACAGTACAGAATCAATTGCCTCAGGTTAATTACTATCATCAAATTATACATGCAATTTGTTTAACGCACCTGAATCTTCTCATGGTGTACTGTTCCTTAATAGCTTCTTCTCTTTCAAAGATCAGAGGTATCCCTTTTTATGAAAGAGAAAAAATAATGCATAAAGTCAGCAGAGATGCATGTAATTCACCTCAGTCACTTTGTACCCCCTAATGCTCAGGATGTGGAGTGAATTCGGAAGGGCAAGAATAAGGTAGCTCTACAAACACTCTTCGTTGGTGACATAGACAATATTCTAGTTCCTAGGACTACTTTTGCAGCACAATACAGCTATTGCATGCAGATGAATTTCTCTGCATGCATAGGAAAGAAAATTTAACAACCTGATTTTTGCAATTCTACAGAGAAAGAAGAGAATAGGACAAAGGGAGAATGGGACAAGAAAAACTCTAGATGGTTGCTGAGCATGACTTAGAGATGTGGGCTCTACATGTAAGAACTTTATGTCTTGGGACTGATGTTTGGTCTTTTCAATAAGGTAAAATCTTCATTCTGGGTTTTATACTTAACACACTGAAAATGTTCAGCTTCTTTCTTGCCAGCTGTGCTGTTACTATCGAAATATAGAAGCTTATGAACGAAAGAGATTCTTCTAAATTTCTTATATTAAAATGTTTCAGGCAATTATATTTTATATCTTCAATGTAACCTCCTTATAAATGGGACTTTTCCTGCAGGTAACATTCTGTAAATCTTGTAACTCTGGAAATTAGCAAATTATCAATTAGATGTGTAGCTTTCCTGCACCCATTTGAGACTAGCTGGCCTCTGTGACACTGGTCCAAGGACTTCATCACCATAGGCAAATAAATTAATTCCTGCTGCTCCTGACTTCCAAACTGGATACATATATTTATGCAGAGGGAACAAGCTTCATTGCAATTAATGCTGAAGCTGATTTGAGGTTGCCTGTTATCTTTTTTAGGCACTCCATTGTTACTCTCAACCATGCCTATGGTCCCCGAAATTATATGTGGAATTTACCACATAACCTATAAGTTAACTTCTCAAGTAGTTTCCTCTGGATTTGGTGAAAATCTATCCTGCCATTTTTGGCATTAATAGGAAGAAGCTTACTTTTATTTTTATAAATTTGTTCCCTTAATTACATCATATAATGGAGATTAGTACACAAAATTAGATTTATATGGTACACAAACATTATTTCAAAATTAATAATCATTAAATGATTAATTACAAATCCATTTATCTCTGTAGAGTCAATTAAAATATCGGCTGAAAAATAACAGTAAGATACAGATTTTGTTACCTTTTCATTTACTTTATTTCTTTAGATAGGTGTTTACTTAAAATTGGCACATCACAAAATTCTATTTGAGGCTTTCAGGGTCTCTGTAAATATGAATACTTTCCAGGTGTAACTAGCAATGATGAGAAACCTTATATATATAGGTGCTCAGGACGAGGAAATGAATTGAATAAGAGCACATAGCATATTATTGGAAAAACTAAATACTGAAGACCTTAGAATTTTTACTTTTAACCTAATTCTTAAACAATTTTTTTTTCTGAAAGCAATAAATGAATAAATTCTGCTCTCATTTGAATATTCATTCCAGTACAATGAAACTTCACAGATTTTACCTTTTTTCTGTCTTTTTTTAATGACTCCAGTAAGATGCTTTGTTAATGACTCAACAACATGTCGTTCATTTTTTATATCCCGAACAAATGGGTGATGAAGCATGTTTGCAGAAGTAGGACGAAATAAAAAATTTTTTATCATGCATTTTTCCATGAAATTGTGGAACTTGCGGGACCTAAAAGAAATGTGTCAAAGAGATAAAAGTATTCTTAGGCCCACCACACCTAGTCCCACCCCCACCCACATGCCACTCTGAAGGTCATATTTTTGGAAAGAATTGCCTCTAGCTATAACTGCCTTGTCAATTGGCAAACATCCTGCAGCTTGACAACATACATTATACAGTGAGGCCATCTAAACCTCAGAAAAAGAAGCCACAGTCAACAGCATTTTCTACAAAAATAATACTAGAAACTTCAATGCATTCAGCTGTATGTATGGAGTAAGTAAAAACTCAAGTGGTGATATGGCAATTAAATGGTTAATGTGATATATGTAGTCCATGAGACTAGATTGGTCAGTCCACAACATTCATACTCTGAAGCCTGAATGTTTCACTTGACAACATGCAGTTTTAGCTACTGAGGAATTGATGTAATGACCCAAAAAGAGGGTGTTAATAGCACCAGGACTAACTAATCTTATAAAATGGCCCATGAATACAGCTGCAGCCACAAAGCCTGAATCTGTGGAAAGGGTTACATTGAATCACGAGGAAGAATGTCAGCAATCAAATCATAGTCACCACTTATACTAGGGCAAATAATAAATACTAAGAATAGGCAAGAGTTTAAGGTCCTAGATCAACAAGCTTCAGAGAGGATTCCCAAGTTTAGTTGGCCTGTAGCACCCTGGGAGAACAAATCCTCTACTTTAGGTCTGTGGATGTTTGGTTTAATGGGCCAACCAAAAGGGGTGTCTATCATAATCAGTGACTGCCTATCTAGTCAGTGAGAAACTTCACAAATAGTTGCCACTGTTCCATCCCATTACTGAGGAAATAACTGAATATGCCCATTACTGGCAGGACAGTAATATCATCATAATATAATATGGAGGATATCACTTATTTTTAGTTGGCTAGTAGTTCTTAATGAAAATTGGTCATTTAGACCTCCCAATTAAGATATTGGATTTTAGGAAATATTGTCCAACAAAAATGGTGAAGCAGGGCTGACCAAAAGAATTAAAACTTCTTTGCTACATTAAAAATGTCAAGTCAGTGAATTAAGGGGATTAAGACATTCATCTTTACCATCCGCTGGATTTGACTGTGGGAGCAGATTCCCGCAAAATAACGAAGAGGGCTTCCAGGGGCTGAAGATTACACAGAGCTGCAAATGGAAATAGATAAGTTTAGAAAGAATGAGAAGGGTAACTACAGAGTACACTCCTCATTCCAGTGGGGATTCTCAGTGTTCTTTCATATATCATGTTGAATAGACAGATGCTGAGATGAACAGATACAAAATAATCTAGTTAAAAAAAAAACTCATTTTAACACAAACATTGCATTATGTAAGATTCTAAAGTTTTATCATAACTGAGTATGACAAATCAATAATAAATTCAACTAGAAAAAATTTTTGAAATATATGGTTGATAATTTATATCTATAAAAGTTAACCAAAGGTGGAGATAATCACTTTTCTGTTACCATATTTCAGGTACTTACCATTGTAAAATTGGAATATTTAATTATAGACTGAGAAAGATAACCTGATAAGTAGATGAGCACAAAAATATATTTAAAAAAGCAATGGTTTAGTGCTCTAGAAAGCTGAGAAGAATCTGTTTTGGAAGCTGAGAGCCCTAGCAAAAGAGGTAAATATAGTGCAACTAACTATTAATAACAGACCTTCTAAAGATCATCTAGTTCTAATCCTAGCTCTGCCTTTTTGACTTTGGGAAAATTACACTACTTAACCTATCTGTGCACCTCAGTTTCTTTCCCTGAAAAACAGGAAATGTGCAGGAATCCCTTCAAAGAGTTGCTGTAAGGATTAAACAGCAACCTGGAAGTAAAACTGTCTGGTATGTAGTAGGCACTTAATAAATAAATATTAGTTACTGATATTATAATAAAGATTTTTAAAACTATATTGCACTTCAAGTCTGTGCCAAATTACTCAACCTTCATTGTGTTTTTTCATACACATAGGCATACAAAGAAAAGCCTATTCCAAAATGTGCTATATAAATTAATTACCTCATCAGTTTGGGAATTCTAGGTTTTTGTGTAAGCGTTTAAATATGTGTCTCACTTCACTTATTTCTTCTTGTGTTTTGAATAAAGAAAACTGGCAGTGTAAAAAGTCCCCAATGGAGAGCCATAGTGTAAATTTCACCTAACACTACAAGCATGTCATTTATGTGAGGGCAGTTTGATATTAATAACTCTTCCAAAATGCATCCCCAGAAAACCTACAGTGCCGGACTGGTCTCTCACAGTAGTAGAAAAAACTTCCCAGTGTGATTTTATTAGAGTGATACAAAAGCAACTGTTCAAAGGCCAAAATTTGTTCTCAATTACATGAGTATAAATTAGTAGAAGGTGTATGTTTACAACTGAAGGTAGAATTAGCTCCAAGCTCAAGAGATCAGGGTCATATTTACTCCCTTACTGTTTCCAATCAGTCATCAGGCTCTGTTCTTTAAGCATATTGTAAGTGAGTTCGTACAATATTAAGCAGTTGTCATTTATTAACATCTGAGCATCATTTAGTCAACTGACAAAATCTTCAGGGGCCTAGAGTTAGGACACAGACTAGATAAGTTTTTATCAAGGGAAAGGAAGAGTTCACAAAGGAATGGTGCATAGGATGGGTACAGAGCTATGTCAATAGCAGCTGAGGATGGTTTCCTTTATGGTCTAATTTTAGGAATGTCACAGTAAATGTCCTCTCCAACCCATATCTCATAACACTGCCTAAATGCTCACCCTTAGATGATCATTCCTTTGAAATAGCAAACCACCTTTAAAAAACATATCTCTTGAGGGGTTGGACACCTATTAAACTGTGCTTAGTCTGAATTAGGTTAAATAATGTGGTTTATTCCTGACACATGTTGAGATCTGAAAGAATCTTCTTAATACTAAAGAAATGAGCCTCTTCATGGGACGGGCAAATTTGAATCATGACACATTCAGGTAAAGATTGACATGGAGTGTGAGGAAGGGATACCACAAGGAAGAAAAGTAGGACTATAAACAAGCATCATTGACAATATTAAATGTAATCTGCAACATCAAAGAGAAAGCCAAAATAGGAAAATATATAGTCCAGATTAAGGTAAGGGCTGATGTAGACCCTTGACAAGGAAGTGGAGTCAGAGTAAATTATTGACCCTATCGTGCTTCTCCTCCAGGCAAATATTCATTTTTCTATAAAGAATGGAGAGGTTAAGAACCACATCTATTTAATATTATTTGGCCTATGATATTCTGATGTTTGAATCACTACTAGCAATGTTCTGGACTTGACTTAAAGGTATCCACATTGTTTTAATTCCTAACTGGAACCTAAGGAATAAAGGAGGTCCTGGTGTGCAAAGCTCCAGTTCTTTTCTCTTCTCAGAACCCTTTCAGAGAGAAGTTAATCTTCCTCTCTTTTGACTTCTCTGGGAGAAATTCACCAAAAAAAGACCAAAGGAAGATAATTTTGTTATCTGGATCTCAGAGGATATTATCAGATAAGTGTCACTTTGGAAGGCCATCCCCCCTGAAGTGGTAGTTATCATAATCGAGAGGATTTCTGCAGTTAAAATGATGACAATCATTTCAATGAAAAGTTAATACTCCAGGCAATAAAGGAGGCTGATGAAAAAGAAATGTTTTACTAAGGTAGCTGTCTAGAGTTGCTCATGACCAAAGTTGTACCATTTCAATTACTTCTGCAGGCTGGCTGGCCCTATTTTCTCTCCTTCTGAGTTCAGAATCTCCTGGTCTTCACTTGTCTTTTGCAAGAAGGTTGTCATTTGCGGACTCTGTGCCAAATCCCTTCTCTGCACTCCTCCTATGAGTATGCTCATCAGCCCTTTTTTCTCCTTTTAGAATTAAAAAAAAGTGAAACAAAAAAATGGCGAACCAAGAAGTACAAAGCTGCAAAGTGTAGAGTGCTCGGTTTTTTTTTTTTTTTTGTAAAGACATGGTGAGAAGCACTCAGGAACAATGGCAAACGATACGACTTGATGCAGTCATGCATCCTAACCAAAACCATGCATCAATGCTAATGTGACATGTCATACTATGTACTTAGAGAGAGAAGGAGTGAGGACAAGGAGGAGAAGGAGGGAGGACGAGGAGGAGGAAGAGGAGGAGGAACAGCAGCAACATAATCTAATCATGTTTCCCAAGCAGAAATACTCAGTGATGATGAGGAGTGATTCACATCTACCCAGTCTCGTTTCCATTTTATATATGTGGTATGCATGTGTAATTTTTTACATCTTAGTTTTTTCCATCATCAATTTTTTATTCACCTGACTTAGGCACGCTGCTGTTTTTTGGACACTAGAATAGAGGCAGCAGCAACCTGATCTCTACATCTGTCTTAGCTTTATCTTAGACCCTCTTTGATATTCCAAGAGACACCAGGAATTCTCAACAATTACGATACTACTATTTCTACTCCTTGAAATTTCTCCCATTGGCCTTGAAACACAGTGCTAAGATAGACCAAGTTTATAAAACTTGGTGGGTGCATATTGTATAGATAGAACGTACAGGAACATTCAAAACTACGTGGTCTGCTCAGAGAGGGGAAAGCAAAGCAATTCCTTCCCACTCACTGCCAATGGGGTGATATATTCAAAATACTAAAAGACAGAGATTGCCAGCCAAGAATACTCTACCCTGCAAGGCTATCCTTCCGAAATGAAGGGCAAATAGTATATTTCTCAGACAAACAAAAACTGCGGAAGTTCACTACCACACAACTATCCTTACAAGAAATTTTCAAGGGAGTACTTGGTTTGGTACTTGAAAATTAACTACCACTGCCATAAAAACTCCCCCTCCCCCAAATCAAAACCCACTAGTAAAATAAAAATGCCAACAATGAAGAAAAAAAAGTTTATCTACAACCCAAGGAACCAACAAATACAGAAGACAAACAGTATATCAGAAAGAAAGGAACAAAAGACACTTAAGACATTCAAACAAAAATCAATATAATGCTAGGAGTAAATCAACACTTTTCAATAACAACTCTTAATGTAAAAGGATTAAATTCCCTAATCAAAATACACAGACTGGTTGACTGGATTAAAAAGGAGGATCCAACTATATGCTGCCTTCAAGAGACCCACCTCACCTATAATGACTCTCATAGACTAAGAGTGAAAGTATGGAAAAAGACTTACCATGCAAACAGAAATGGAAAATGAGCTGGAGTAGCTATTCTTATATCTGATAAAATAGACTTTAAACTAAAAAACATAAAAAGAGATAATGAGGGCCACTACATTATGAGAAAAGGATTGATCCATCAAGAAGACATAACAATCATAAATATATATGCACCCAATGTTGGAGCAGCCAGATTTGTAAAGCAAACTCTATTAGACATAAAGAAGGAAATAGACACTAATACCATAATAGCAGGGGACCTGAACACCCCACTGTAAATATTGGGAAGATCATCTAGGCAAAGAAATAGAAGAGAAACCCAAGAGCTAAACAAACCTCTAGACCAATTGGACTTGGCACATATCTACAGAACATTTCATCCATCAACCTCAGAATATGCATTCTTCTCATCAGCACATGGATCATTCTCCAGGATAGATCACAAGTTATGTCACTAATCAAGTCTCAACAAATTCAAAAAAATTGGAATTATCCCATGTATTTCTTCAGACCTCAATGGATTAAAATTAGAAATAAATAACAAACAAAATTCTGGAAACTATACAAACATGTGGAAATTAATGGCATATGGGTCTAAAAAGAAATCTAACACGAAATCAAAAAATTTATTGAAACTAATGAAAATAATGATACATCATACCAAAACCTGTGGGATACTGCAAAAACAGTACTTAGGGGAAAATTTATCACATATATGCTTACTTCAGAAGAATGGAAAGATGGCAAGTGAACAACCAAATACTTTACCTTAAAGAACTAGAAAAACAAGAACAATCCAAACCCAAAGTTAGCAGATGGAAAGAAATCATTAAGTTCAGAGCAGAACTTAATGAAATTGAAACCCAAAAAACGATACAAAAGATCAATGAATCAAAAAGTTGGTGTTCTTAAAAGATAAAAAAAAAATTGACAAACCATTAGCATAGCTAACTAAAAAAAAGAAGAGAGAAGACTGAAATAACAAATTTTAGAAATAAAAAAGGTGATATTACAACTGATACCTCTGAAATACAAGGAATCATTAGAGAAATTTATCCATTTCCTCCAGATTTTCAAAAATAAACAATTATATGCCAACAAATTTGAAAATCTGGAGGAAATGAATAAATTTATGGACACACACAAACTACCAAAACTGAGACAAGAAGATGTAGAAAATATGAACAGACCAATAACAATAAAAGAGATTGAAGCTGTTATCATAAGGCTCCCAACAAAGACAAGCTCAGGACCAGATGGATTCACAGCAGAATTCTGCCAAACATTCAAAGAGGAACTGACACCAATTCTCTACAAACTATTCCAAAAGATTGAAATAGAGGCAATTCTCCCAAACTCATTCTATGAAGCAAACATCACCCTGATACCAAAACCAGGTAAAGATACAACTAAAATACAAAACTACAGGCCACTATCCTTGATGAACATAGACACAAAAATCTTCAATAAAATACTAGCTAACAGAATACAGCAACACATACACAAAATGATACACCATGATAAATTGGGATTTATCCCAGGAATGCAAGGTTGGTTCAACATCTGCAAATCAAAGAAAGTGATACACCATATCAATAAAGTGAAACACAAGGACTATATAATCATCTCTATAGATGCTGAAAAAGCATTTGATACAATTCAACACTCATTCATTATAAAGACTCTCTACAAGTAAGGTATAGATGGCAAGTATCAGAACATAATTAAAGCCATATATGATAAACCAACTGCCAATATCATCCTGAATGCAGAAAAGCTGAAAGCTTTGCCTTTAAGAACAGGAACTAGACGAGGATACCCACTCTCACCACTCCCATTCAACATAGTGTTGGAAGTACTAGCCAGAGCAATCAGAGAAGAGAAGGAAATAAAGGGCATCCAGATTGGAAAAGATGAAGTCAAACTGTCCCTGTTTGCAGATGATATGATCCTATATACTAAACAGCCTAAAGCCTCTACCAAAAAACTCTTGGAGTTGATAAGGGATTTCAAGGAAAGTTGCAGGGTACAAGATCAACACACAAAAATCAGTAGCATTTCTTCAGTCCAAAAAAGAACTAGCAGAAAAAGAAATCAAGAATGGTATCCCGTTTACAATAGTCACCAAAAAATAAAATACCTAGGAATAAAGTTAACCAAGGATGTGAAAAATCTCTATAATTAGAACTACAAACCACAGATGAGAGAAATTAAAAAGGACACAAGAAGATGGAAAGATACCCCATGATCTCGGATTGGAAGAATCAACATTGTGAAAATGTCCATACTACCCAAAGTGATAGCCAAATTCAATGCAATCCCAATCAAAATTCCAATGACCTTTTTATCAGAAATGGAACAAACTATCCAGATTTATATGGAATAACAAAAGACTACGCATAGCCAAAGCAATGCTGAGCAAAACAAATAAAGCTGGAGGCATAATACTACCTGACTTTAAACTATAGTACAAAGCTATAATAACCAAAACAGCATGGTACTGGCATAAAAACAGACACATTGATCAATGGAACAGAATAGAGAATCCAGAAATCAACTCACACACCTACAGCCATCTGATCTTTGACAAAGGCACCAAGCCTTTACCCTGGGGAAGAGACTGCCTCTTCAGCAAATGGTCCTGGAATAACTGGATATCCATATGCAGGAGAATGAAACTAGACCCATACCTCTCACCATATAGTAAAGTCAACTCAAAATGGATTAAAGAATTAAATACACACCCTGAAACAGTAAAACTTCTTAAAGAAAATACAGGAGAAACACTTCAGGAAGTAGGACTGGGCACAGACTTCATGAATATGACCCCAAAAGCATGGGCAACCAAAGGAAAAATAAACAAATGGGATTAAATCAAACTAAAAAGCTTCTGCCCAGCAAACGAAACAATTAACAGAGTTAAAAGACAACCAACAGAGTGGGAGAAAATATTTGCAAAATATACATCTAACAAGTGATTAATATCCAGAATATACAAGGAACTCAAACAACTTTACAAGAAAAAAACAAATAACCCAATTAAAAAATGGGCATAAGAGCTAAATAGGCATTTCTCAAAGGAAGATATACAAATGGCCAACAGACTCATGAAAAAATGCTCAACATCACTCAGCATCCGGGAAATGAAAATCAAAACCACACTGAGATACCATCTCACCCCAGTTAGGATGGCTAATATCCAAAAGACTGTGAATGATAAATGCTGATGAGGTTGTGGAGAAAAAAGAACTCTCATACTTTGTTGGTGGGAGTGCAAAATGGTGCAGTCTCTATGGAAAATGGTATGGAGGTTCCTCAAACAATTACAGATAGATCAACCGTATGACCCAGCTATCTCACTGCCAGGAATATACCCAGAGTAATGGAAATCATCAAGTCGAAGGTATACCTGTTCTCCAGTGTTCATCACAGCACTATTTACAATAGTTAAGAGTTGGAACCAGCCCAAATATCCATCATCAGATGAGTGGATAAGGAAAATTTGGTATATCTACACAATGGAATACTACTCAGCTATAAAAAAGAATGAAGTACTGCCATTTGCAACGACATGGATGGTCCTAGAGAGAATTATATTAAGTGAAACAAGTCAGGCACAGAAAGAGAAATATTACATTTTCTCAGTTATTTGTGGGAGCTAAATATAAATACACAAACTTGGGGGGAGGGAAGAAGACATAACAATTACAATTCCTTGAAGTTGATACGACAAGGAAACAAAAAGGACATTGTTGGGAGGGAGGGGAGAGAGAGAGGAGGGAGGGAAGTTTTGGTAATTGGCCACAATAATCAACCACATTGTATATTGACAAAATAAAATAAAATTAAAAAACCCCACCAGGAATGCATTATCACTTATACCTTTGAATTTAGGTATTGAGGACAGCAAATATGCTATGCTTTGGAATCATACATCAGGTGGTTATCAATCATTTATATTCAAGACCACATTCCATTTTCACTTTCCTACCAGAAAGCAGTGCTTGAGATAACAGAATGCTGACAGGTTATTTAGAAGATGGGGAGGTGAGGGACACAAGAGGAAACAGTTAATGGCACTGGGTTGGCACTGGAAGGCACCAAAGTTGAGCTGGATTGACTCCGAAGGAAAAAAAAAAAAGTGCTTACTTCCCAACAGTGCTGGGGATTGGTTCAATTTCAATAAACCACTGGAGGATTTTCTCAACAATCACAGCCTGAAGCAGTAGTAGAGTGTAACTGTAAATGTTCTATAATCTAAATATTTTACATCATAATAGATTGGAATGCCTTTGGATTCTGGTTTCTTAGGACTGTCAGGACCAAATACTACGGAGGCTAAACTGAAACAACACTCAGTCATCCTAATATTAGATATCATAAGAAAGTGAAGCACAATCTGCTTTTACATACCCATATCTGGCCATTCTGACAAAAGCATTTGGTAATCACTGAGGAGGCCACCATTTATAGTTTGGCACATCATGCAACACCTGTATGGCCAGTAAAAGCTGACTGGTACAAGTGACAATTTCATCTTCTTCCAGAGAGACAGCTCTGTATAGTACATTTCTGTAAACTGTAACAAATATCAAACATTTTTACTCACGAGGAGCCCCTTCAGCCATTTCAATAGCAGTGATTCCCACGGACCACACATCACTCTGCAAAGGAAAAGATGACAAAAATGTGACTTAAAAATAGAAAACTGGTAGTATTTAGAATAATCTTTAGTTGGGGTTGGGGGTGTCAATGCCAAAGCCATTTTGTGGGTTTTCTACAATGAAGCTTCAATATCGACTGACATAGAAATACATTATCTGAGCTTGTGACCAACCAGTACCTCATTACACAACAGGCTGATATGGAATGGGGTTCAGTGCAGGGAAAGTCCATCTTGAATGTATTACTCTTGTTTACTTATCTGAAATACCAAAAGGAACTTGCCATAAAGAAGTCCTATTGCATAAACCTACTAGCTGTGTGATCTTGGGCAAATAAACTCTCAGCACCTCAGTTTCAACTCTGTGTAAAATGGCAATAATAGTATTATTCACCTAATAGGGCTAGTGTATAGATTTTAGCAGTTCCTGAAATATAATAAACTGAGGCTAGAATCACAATGAGGCTCAATGAAATTCTACTCACTACTATTAACTATACTTTGCTTTTCAGAGTGTGGAAAGGGCCCAAGGCTAGAGGTACACTGATTGGGCTGAATGACTCCTAAACAAGTTAATTGAATTCTTAGAACGCCGGTTTATAGATCACTTAGCTTTAGCTGTTGTGATAGTCTAAGCTTAAGATTTCTACATGGCTAAAAAATATAAATAAATAACTAATACAGGTGAAAGTTCTTGGAAGACTGCAACAAAATATACACCCATAAAGCATTATTTTTGCAGCAAGCCACTTGGAGAACTTTATGCTTCAATAGTCCCCACAGCTTCTAATATAGCACTGAACATATAATAGGGTGCCAGTAAACAACTAATTTGCAGATCAAGCAGAGGGTATTTAAGGAAAGGGAAAAGAAATGAAACTTAAATTAATCAACTTCAAGTATTGAGTCCTAGGTTCCACACAGGAAGACCACAAAGAATTGTTTGGATGACTTATGATGTGGAGAGTGAGTGAGGTTTTTCCAGTCTATAGCAAATGGAGATTTTTCTTTCCACATGAGCTTTTTGAAATGTGTACATAGATGTATACTGTCCAAATTGCAGCTTCAGTGGAAATTTTAATAAATAACATGAATTGTTACTTAATTTGTCTATTCCACTGATTTTCTGTGGTTTGGGAGGTGAACACTGAGCCAAGGATTTTCTCCATTACCCTGAGTAATCAAATATTTTTTTTTCTTTTTGGAGCTAAGTTACTGTAGGGATTAATAATTGGCTTTACATTTATTCATTTTTAAGTTTACAAAGCCCTCTGCCCCTGGAAGTTAAATTTCCATATAAAGCCACATAATATAATACTCTTACCAAGAAGTTACAAGCAACATGACCTAGACATTCTACCTCAATTCCAGGTAACTCTTAATGGTCTACTTAGTCTACATTAATAGAAAATATTACTTTTATGCATAAAATCAAACCACATATAGGAATAGAGACTAGTATTTTCTATTAGAGTTTAATGTGAAAGGAGGAGCTACCTGCTTTTAATTCTTTATTTTATCATTTAAAATACGTTAGTCAAAAATCATTTCCATACTTTGATTCCTACGGTCTGAATCCTCATACTCACTCTGTAATCATAGGAGCGTCTTGGGTCTTCGTCACAGTCAATCACCTCAGGTGCCATCCAGTATGGTGTCCCAATGAAGCTATTTCTCCTTCCATTAGTTCTGCTCACCTGGGCACTCACTCCAAAATCAACTTCAAAATTCAGCATATGTCAAAATAATTAGTCAGGAACAAAAAGCTGAATAAGTTACAGCTTTAACTCAGAAAGCCAATATAAAAGCCACAATGGATAACAGATTTTCATTCCAGCCTAGCAAACTTTACCATGAAGTCTACTCCAGGAATACTGGGAAATAAGATTTTGCTGCTATTTGTGTTGGAATGAGACTCAGCAGGGCTATTATAAATCTACAGTAGGTTTGGCTGAATGTTTATCATGAATATTAAAAATAAATTTCCACTGGTATACCCTAAATCTCTGAAGTGATAACATATGTAGTGTTTGGACATGCCACCAAGCTGGAGGAAGACCAGCACTGTAAGCAATAAATAAGAAATCCAAAATCTATTAAGAGTTGATTAGAAAGCCTCACTCATGACATGAGAAAGTCCTATCACTCTGATAAAGAAAAATGAGTTTTCTGCTAAAATTTAGTTTAAGTTCTTACACAGACAGATCTCCCGAATCACATTCAAATGTTTATTATGGTATCCATATCTTAACTTAGACTATAAAAGTTCAGTCTTTTATTCATCTGTGGGATACATTATAAGAAAATATTTAGTATGGTATCCTCAGAAACAGAAAAAAAAGGCTAACATAGACTGGGGTTATTTATTAAAAAAAAAAAAAAAGACAGGGATGAAAAGTGAAGTAGATTTTCTAATTTAGAGTGGTTTCCAGGAATCTAGAGGGTGGCAAACAAAATTGATGAAGAGCAGCTTGAAGAATTTAGGGGAATAAAAGAAAAAGAAAAAAAAAACTCATAGTTTAAAGCAGTTTTTAAGGAAGGATCTAATAAGAACAAAAATATTCCACAACATTATGAAGATCCCCATTGGGTGTCACACAATCTTATTTATCTTTTTTTTTTTTTTAAGAAATAGGTTAAATAGGTTAAATCAGAACTCAGCATTCTCATGATTTCTGAGGGCCAACTTCAAGGGCCAAGAATTACCTACAAAGGCCAAAGGCTGGTATATGGCATACATCCAGGGAAGAAAACGAAAGGAGAAAAGACTAAAAGAGAGTGATAAATGGAAGAAGAAAGGGGAAAAAAGGAGAGAAAAAGAAAAGCTGAAATTAAGATAAAAGGTAGAGATAAAACCTCAACAATGGCATAATTTAACCTTCTCTTTAATGACCTTAGGGACTGGAATATAAAGATTATTGATCAAGGGGCCGGCCCGTGGCTCACTCGGGAGAGTGTGGTGCTGATAACACCAAGGCCACGGGTTCGGATCCCATATAGGGATGGCCGGTTTGCTCACTGGGTGAGCGTAGTGCTGAAAAACCAAGTCAAGGGTTAAGATCCCCTTACTGGTCATCTTTAAAAAAAAAATAATAAAGATTATTGATCAATTGCGTTTGCAATATAATCATTTTCCCATCTCTTTCCTTTCTGTCACTCCCTTTGGCTGTCACTAGGTTTGCCTTCTGCAACTTTCTTCTTATAATTTCTTGCTTAAAAATATGTGATAATCTGAGAAATCTACAAAAATTGTATAAGGATTATGTGTAAAGCCTGATTAAATTCTAATCTAGCACTTAAAGGTCTGTCCTCCAGAGTGAAGTACATGAGCTTTAGTGCAGGGACTTCGTGACAGATATTTTAGCAGCTTCTAATTTACTGGCAATTTCTCCTCTCTGTTGCATATGGTCAGGTTGGCCAGCAACCTGACCCAAGTATAGGGAGTATTGCTCTATATGTGAACATAGTGTTTAGACTTGTGGTGAACTATCTATCCTGCACATTTAAATGTGAAATCCATGTGTCTCTTACGTATTTTTTTAAGTTTTTAAAAATTGTGTTTCTAGCTTTTAGCTTTCAGACACAAAAGAGATAATGCACATTTTGAAACTACTTTCACTTCTTTCACAAACAATTACTAGCTCATGCTTCTTCCACAAATGTTCAGTGAAAAATCTTCTCATTGGTGTCAATTAAAAAAGAAAACAAGCAAAATGAAAACCAACACAATATACACTAATTTCTATCAGAGTTATTTTTTTATTTATAATCATATTCAATTTGAAAATTTAGTTTCTTAAAATATAAAAAAAAGATCACAATGAATGAACAAAATCTCTACTTTGGCTCTACTTTTTTAGCAAGAACATGGGAAATATCTTAAGGTCATGTTAAAAGACACGTTAATAATGAATTGATGTAATTAAAAAATAATACATGTAATTAATGTTCTATATCAATGGGGTTACCTGCCATTACATAATAGTAACATTATTTATATGTTATTGTTTTAAAACCAACCATCAATATTTATTCCCTGTGTGCCTGTGAGAAAATAAGTGTGGTTATTTTCAAATAAATTATGCCACTCTGAACCCTGCATTAGAAAGCCAGCAACATTCTGGTCTTTTTATTTCAAATTCTGAATTTTATTTGCATATTGTAGAAGCATCATTTCTGATTGATATTGTTTCTTTAAACATTTGAGGAAAAATTCACAAAAAGCAATTTGTGCTTAAGTAATTTGCAACTTCTTTGATATACTTGGGAAAATATGGCTCTGTGATGTGGAATAATTGTCTTTTTTTAAACCCCTGCCTATGGCACAGAAACTTGTACTTGGTAAATACTCAATTCAATTGCTGAAACAAATAGAACTTCTACCTGTAATATAGGGTAAAGCAATGAACAAAAAGTTAACTCCAGATTGTTAAAGTTGTTTTATCTACATGGTTTCAAAGAAGCAGTAGGTGCATCTTCCTTCTTTTGCTCCATTGCCCCTCCCAAATTTTCAAATTTTGTCCAGTTTTGCAGGTAGGGAAGACCCAGCTCAAATGAGTAGAGGATATTGGCGGGTCGTGACAGAAAGCAGTTATCTTAAAGGAGTTTTCTCTATTAATATGTTTTAAACCTCACCTAAAATACTGTAAGAATATACTTACCCAGTTTTACTTCAGCATTATGAGTCAGTAGCACATTTTGACCTTTGATGTCCCGGTGAATTACTCGGTGTGCATGAAGGTGAGCTAAGCCCTGTATACATATATTTAAAAGAAAAGCCATATCAATATATATATTTTTCTCTTTTCTGGTACTGTCTTTAGTATTTTTGGAAAAACTTTTGGTAAGAGAAATGGCCCAGATCTGATTTTTCAGACACAATTCTTTCTTTAGGCTGGAATTACTACAATCAGTTCCCAGAAATACTACTTTTGGCTATAAGGAAAGGAAAATAAATCGGGACACCCATGAAATTAAAGGAACACCAAAAAGTAATGTTTGTATACATTGGGCTACTTTACCTTCCTTTCTAGCCTCCATATTTCCAACTAAGCATAAGAATAAAGACCTGGACATCTTAAATATCATAGCTCAACCACTGTTTTACTCTATTCCTCATCCAACCTCGTTTAGTCCAAAATATTTTCTAGTCAGCCTTGTAGGCTCAGAATTCGGGGTAATATGGAAATTCATTTTGAAGCATTTGCAATTTGTGTTGGCTTACCACACTGGCTCCAGCCCACTTACCGCTAAAAGTAAGATGTGACCTGGCTAAATCATGACATGATATGCAGCGTTAGGCTCCAGTGAGATTGTTCCAGATACTAAGGGGGGATTAGTAATATAGGTAACAATAAAAATAGCTAACATTTACTGAGCCTTTATTATTTGCCAGGCACTGTGCTAAATGCTTTTCATGGATTAAATTATTAAATCCTCAGTGTAGCCCTTTGAGGAAGGGTTCACCCCATACTTTAGATGAGGAAAGTGAGACATGGAGAAATTAAGTAAGTGACTCAAGGTCACACAGCTAATACACGGTGAATCAGAATTTAAACTCAGTCCAGAGTTCGCAGTCTTAACCATTTATACTATTATCACAAGTGAATCCAACAAAGATGGAGGAAAGACATTCTACCATTGTATGAGTGGTGCTGTTCAATACTGTTAATATGTTTCTTGGGTGACCCTAAGCACACACAACAAAAAAAAAAAAAAAAAAAAAAAAACGTTGAGTTTGTCAGATCAAGAAGATTGTTGCTCTCCTCCAACTGGGTATTGGAATTAAATAAACAAATAAGTGAGGCAGTATTCAAAGAGGATGTCTGTCTCCAAAATGGCTGCAGATGGTTTGGGGCCATTGGGTAGAATGCTGAATTCTCCTTATTCACCTTCATCATAATCTATGATGATAGTGCTATGCTTTTTAAAAAAAGAACTCAAAAAATCACAATAATATAATAAATAATCCAGGTGGTCATTTCCGTGATCCACTGAATACAGTATTCTGAATCTGATGAAGTCATTAAAGGCAAGGATTTGGAAGAACCTGGTTATCCATCTTGTGGTCTGCCTTAAAGTTTAAGGACATCACCTGAAAACCTGTTTTTTTGAAAGCTTTTTGGCCTTATTAGATATCTTGACCCAGAGGCTATGTTTAGAATCCTTAAACTATCCAATATAAACAGTAATAAGTTATATTGTACATATTATTTCCAGGGTCTTACAAGACAAGAGGAGAACAACCAAGTGAAGACTCACCTGAAGGATTTCTCGGCAGATATAAGCAATCCAATCTTCTTTTAAACTCTGATTTCTGGTCATCCTCACTACATCAGTGACTGAGCCTGCTGCACATAACTCCATCACCATCTGCAGGGAAGTCATCAAAGTATCAAGAATTAGAAAGTAATTCTCTGAAAATATCTGGAGAGTTTTAGTCCATATGACTTGTATTGATATGTAATGTCTAGAAATTAAGGTAGTGCAAGACTGGCTCAATCGTGTGGTGGAAGACTCTAAAGGCTAATGGAATTAGAAAGAATTGGATAAGACCTAAAGATTTGTGGAGGGAGGGAAGTCAGGTACTACACCAAGAATATTTATCCAGAAGGTGGGATTTATGCTAAACCTAAAAGAATAGGGTTTGGATATGCTTAGAAGGAAGAGCATTCGGTTTATGGAAAACAGAATGAACACCTGTCCTTAGAAAGAAGTGTGTACAAAGGACAAGACTGAGTGAAGACTGAAGTAAAAAAAAGAAAAAAAAAAGAAAAAAAAAAGAAAGAAAAAAGAAAAGACTGTTGGGGGAACAGTTTGATTGGGGGTAGAGAAGCAGGATGTGGATGGTCTCAAAAGAGTTTACCTTTGAATATTAAGTCTACATTTGGTTTTTGTTGTTTTGTTTTTATTTTCAAATTCTAGATTTTTCTCAAGATACTGGCAAACTAAAACTCCAAGTGGGAAATTGTCAACTGAATTCCTGTAGGATAATTTCTTCCAAATGGGGTTATTGCTACAGGACACCTATTTTAAGGCTAATATTTTTGACAATATTTCATTCAGATTCTATTGTATTAATCTACTCTATTTCTCAAAAAAACTTATTTTTACCACCAATGAATTGAGTGCTCTACTAATAAATTTCCTTTCAGATAATATTAGCTAACTAGAGGACAGAGCAATTTGGAGAATGTAGCTATTATAATCAACCTAGCAACCTTCTCTTTAAGTGCAGATTTAGGTATTACTGCCCACGTCAAAAATGCTTTATCAAAAGAGCAAAACATGTCTTTTTTTTTTTTTTTTAACAGTAGGCAAGTTATTTATTACCACAGATAAAAGGATAAAACCAAAATCATGAATGTTCAAAAAGCCTACCTTATTTCCTTTTGGAATATTATGATTTTCTTTCAGAAACCTACTCCAGTAATTTATAGTTGTTCACCACTGATATTATAGCCTTTCACCTGAGTACACTCTCACCAAGAAGAAGAGGCAGCCAAATAAAACCAACGATACAGATAAACCACAAAAGGTTGATTTTCATGTGAATAACTAAGTCTTGGCTATCTGAATGGATTCAACATGTGTACTGTGGTAATGGAAGAAGAGGGGTTTGTTTTGAATCATGACAAACCTGAATTAAAGCCATTCAACTAAGATGGCACTTGAAAGATCTTGCTAGTATTACATCAGTCAGAAGAGCTCAACTGTAAAAGGAAGGTAAGGCACTCTCGATCATTTTCATAATAAACGGTAGTTATTTAGCTTTTTACTTCCTATTTGTTTTTCTAATTTACATGGGAAGGAAAATGTGAATGGTCCCATAAAACTCTTCCCTCCACAAATAATTTATGCATTAAGTGCCTATTTATCCTTTAGATCTCAGTTCAAGCTTTTTTTTCCTCAAGGAAGAGTTTCTCATTCCCCAGCATAATTTGGGTTCCTTTGTTATTCACCCATATAGAACCATGTTATTTCCCTTCTGACCACTTATACATTCATTTATATAATGATTTGATTGACATTGATTTTTGCAAACAGACTGTAAGCTCCAATGAACCAGGACATGTCTATTCAGCTTACTGTTGTATCCTCAGCATCTAGAAGAATGCCTGGCATATAAATGGTTTCAGTGAATATATGCTGAATGACTGAATTAACTGAGTACTAATAATATATATCCAATAAAGAGATTTCAACATTTCTCATAATTTCCCATACTCTCAAAACAGCTGTAAGTAAAAATATATGAAAAAACTAATGATGAATGCCAAAAAAAAAAGAGTAACCATTAAAGCTGTGCAGTGATATTTAATAAAATCTGAACTGGAATTGTCAGAGAATAGAAGGTATAGGTTAGCTGGATATTTGGGAGAAAATAGAGTTAAGATGAAGATCTCCAAATTTGGTGTTTTTCAAAGTATGGTATTCAGTCAGACCAGCAGCATCAGCATCAACTGTGAATTTACTAGAAAGTACAATTTCTTAGACCCATACCTTAGACCTATTGAATAAGAAACTCTGTGAGTGGGGCCTGCAATCTGTCTTTTATCAGGTTCTCCAGGAGATTCTGATGCATACTAAAGTTTGAGGACCACTGTTTCAATTCAACTCCTTGTTAAAAACCTTCCCATAATGTCCATATCCTACTTCCTAAAGTCCATTATACAGAATGTAACATAGTCTTTCATTGACATTTGAAGATTCTGAAAAAGTCACAGTCATTATTTTGGAAAAAAAAATACTATTATTGACTTGGAGTGGAAATGGAAATGTGGCAAGTTTAGAGATTAAGTTTATGCTGTCCAAGCTTATGTTCTAAATATTCTGTTTTTAATAAAGACATCCTTGACTAAAGCTTAATTTCTTGTCATTTAACTATTTCTCCTACAGTGGAGGGCAGCAAACATTTGGTAACTGTGGCTTAGGAAGTGCAGGTTCCAGTTAGCCTCCAAAATTGATATCTTACTTGACTGAAATTTGTGATACTCCATGGATAACGTATAAGAAAAGAATAAATCAACTAACCATCGAGAATAGAGTTTCTATCAGTTATGGCTATACATAAGTACACATATTTTGCAAACACTTAAAATGCACCCATATGCGCATGTCAAGTGCTAATTAGAATTGATCCTTATCCAGTCACTATTTGCTAGTCCATCAGATACTTTCCATACCAGCAAAAGTAGTAAGTACATGAAGTTAAAAGCAGCACAGCTATATTTGAAAAGATTTATGTTAGATATTTCCAGTGTTTATTTGAGTCCTCTCCCATCCTCCAATAAGCCCCTTGCCAGGCACTTAAGTTACTTTTCCACATTTTATCACTCCCAACTCCAGGAATGCCATACTACCCTTGAGTAGTTGGGTTCTTAAGTTTTCCGGTAAGTGTGCAAAAGTTATATCTCAGCTCGTGAAAACATAAGTTATTAGGGAAGACTTATTCTTATGGTATAAGATCAAGGTAAATAAAAAAACATACCCAAAGTTGGTGCCTCTGGCCAGGGGGACTCAGCTTGAAAAATGCACCATAGAAGGATACAATGTTTTTGTGGAAAGAGTACTTCCTCAGAAGATTGAGTTCAGTCCTGAGATCCTCTTCCTCATCCTATGGAATAAGAACAGACAGCAAAACTCTTAAGCTATGCAATTCAATGACCATGAGTCCTTAAACTATACTAGTTCAAAAAAGGAGAATCCTATAGCAATCTATTATATCACACAGCAATTTATAATAAAATCTCAAATAGAATTTTCAGTGAATGGTGATCCCTGGTTAACTGGGAATTTGGGAGACAAAAAGGTAAATTGAAGATCTTTTAATTCAGTGGTTCTCATAATGTGATCACTGGACCAGCAGCACTGACCACTATATTAAAGCTTTCACTTAATGGAGTCATTTCCTTTTTGTTTGTTTTGTAACAGTTTTATTGAGTAATAATTCACATACCATATTGAAGTGTAAAATTCAATGGTTTTTAGTATATTTACTAAGTTGTACAATCATCACTGCAATATATTTTAGAACTTTTTTATCACTCCTAAATGAAACCCTATACCCTTTGGCTTTCACCCCCCAATTCTGATTGCAGCTACTAATCTAATTTCTGCCTCTACATACTTAGCTATTCTGGACATCTTATATAAATCAAATCATATAACATGTGGTTTTTGTGATTAGCTCTTTTCAAGGTTCATCCATGTTGTAGCATGCATCGGAATTTCATTCCTTTACTCTTACTATTTTATCAAGTGACAAGCATTTGTGTTATTTCCACCTTCTGGCTATTCTCAATACTGTTTCTAGGAGCATTCACGTCAAGTTTTTATGTGGACATATGTTTTTATTTCTCTTGGATATATACCTAAGAGTGAAAATCTTAAGTTAAATGGTAACTCTATGTTTAATGCTTTGATGAAATGCCAAACTGTTTTCCACAGTGGCTGCACCATTTTACATTTCCAACAGCAATATATGAGGGGGTCGCAATTTCTCCATACACTCACCAACACTTATTATTTTGTTTTATTATTATAACCATTCTAGTGCACATGAAGTGGTATGTCATCTTGGTTTTGATTTGCAATTCCCTGATAACTAGTGGTGTTGAGCATCTTTTCATGTACTTATTGGCCATTTGTATATGTTGACAAATGTCTAACTCAAAACATTTTGACCTTTTTATTTAAGAGAATTTATTATAAATACATGTGGGGTACGATGTTGATTTTCAATAACTGTGTACAATGTGTGATAGTTAGATCAGGATAGTTAGCTTATTCATCATTATAACACCTAATCATTCTTTGTTTCCATTGACCAATTCCTCATTAGCCCCCCTCCCTTCCCCCTCCCCTCCCTTTTCCATCTCTAGTTTTCTATAAGTTAAATGTATTACTGTGACTGTTCTTTCTTTCTCTCTCTCGTTTCATTGTTCAATTGTTTATTTATGGATTCATTTCCCAGTTATGAGTGAGAACATGTGGTATTTCTCTTTTTGTACCTGGGTTGTTTCACTTGGAATAATTTTCTCCAGGCTCATCCATGTTGTTGCAAATGGCAGAATTTCATTCTTTTTTATGGCTGGGTAGTATTCCATTGTGTATATATACCACAATTTCCTTGTCCAGTCATTCATCAATGGACATTTAGGTTGGTTCCACTGCCTGACTATTGTAAATAGAGCTGCAATAAACATGGGAGTGCAGGTATCCCTTTAAACTGATGTTTTCCAGTTTTTTGGATATATCCCCAGTAGTAGGATTGCTGGATCATATGGAAGTTCTATCTGTAGTTGTTTAAGGAACTTCCATACTGTTTCCATAACAGTTGTACTAATTTCCAGTCACACCAGCAGTGCAGAAGGGTTCCTCTTTCTACATATCATCGCTGGAATTTGTTATTTCACTTCCTTGATAGTGTCTTTTGAGGCATAAAAGTTTTTAATTTTGATGAAGTCCAGTTGAACTAGTTGTGTTTTGTTGTTTGTACTTCTGGTGTCATACCTAAAAATCCATTGCCAAATCAAAGGTCATGAAGATTTACCCTTATGTTTTCTTCTCAACATTTTATGGCTTAAGCTCTTACATTTAGGTCTTAGGTCCATTTTGAGTTAATTTTTGTATAAAGTAGGGGTCCAACTTCATTCTTTTCATGGGAATAGCCAGTACCACATTTCTTTGATTTGTTTGTGATTCATTATATTTTAAAGGCATTGGATGTTCTGTGCTGATCTTTTTAAAATATATGTTTAAAAACATTTGCTTTTCTAATCACAACAGTGGTACATATGTGTAAATAAATATAAATATATGTATGTGTCTGTATTTTAAGAAAAATATGTAAGTGGTCTACTCCCACTGAACATTTCCCCCAATCAATGCTAAAAGTTTAATATACATTCTTTCGGACATTTCTATATGCTAATGCAGTAGCTAGTGAGGTGACAGAGTTAAATGTATAAAGATATGATCAACATGCATACATGACATTTATTTTTTAATCTAAACAAGCTCATAGTATTCTCACTATTCTGCAACTTTCATCTTTTAATCAATATATAAAGCATACTTTTATACATCAATAAACAAATGCTTATTCCATTTATGTCTGCATGAGATTGCATAAAATGAAGATAAGGGTCTGGCACTCATGGGACAGGTCAGGTCTAGAGCTATTGCTTTTGATAATTATCTATAGAGTGATAATTGAAGCCATCTGATTAGATGAGATTACTGAGGCAGAATACATAATTTCAAGAGATAGCTCTAGCAGAACACAGTGTGATGTCAGTCAGAAAAGGCACCTACCATGTGCATTTGGACACCTAGGTTTTTAGCATGGACAGCCCAGAGTAGGAAACTCACTTAATCTTCCCCACGTTCAATTTACTTTCAAGAAAATGATGAAAGATGGCAGCCATTACTTATCTTCATGCAACATTAGTGGGACCAAATGGGATAATATACATAAAGTTCTTTGAAATCCTTGGAAGAAAAATTCTATAAATGCAAGGTATTATCACAAAGTGTCTTCATTACTTGGCCTGTTATTTAAATTAGCCAGAGTGCTATCAAAACAATACATCTCTCTCCACATTTTACCCTAATTTACAAACATCATCTCCTTCATTCCCAGCACATTTGTTATAGTGGAGAGAAATGGGAAGCAATTCTTCTTTTCTAAGCTTCAGCTATGTCTGCTTGTATTATGACAACCAAGCAGTTGTGATAATTCTTTTGTAACACTTATTTTTCAGCCAATCTAGGACAAAGCTCTTTGCTACTTAATGATTGGGAAATAATCACACTTTTGTATATACAGGTGTAATGCACTGGAGAAAAGAATCTTAAAATATTAATTTACGTTAAAGTTACTTAAAATGTTGGGAATTCTCAATGAACATATTTGTGCATTTAGGTGTTATAGTCCTAACTTAAACGAATTCATATACAGGGCAATAAGATTCACATACATGGATGACATAACCAATAATGAACACAATATAGTGCATAATGATGTCAAAGGTGATATGAGATGACTAAGGAAGTGTTCTTCACTTGAAGAATGGGTTCACCACTGGGCTCCTCTGAATTCCTACTAGCTCCAAATTTTATTTGATTGTAAATAAAAAAGCTCTCCTACTGCATCTAAAAAATTCAATTTACATAAGCTTTTTTTTTTTTTTTGTCTTTTTGTCTTTTTCCGTGTCCTGGCAACGGATCGCAACCCTCAGTGTTGCCCCCGTACCGGACCAGGGACCGGCAACGGGACCGCAACCCTCGGTGCTGCTCCCGCGCCTTGCTCAGCCAGTGAGCGGAACTGGTCTGCATGTGGGATCCGAACCCTTGGGCGGGAGCGCCGCCGCGCTTCCCAAGCGGCGCACTTATCCAGTGCGCCACCGGGCCGGCCCTACATAAGCTTTTAAAAAAAGTATTCTTAAGTCCAAAGTGGAATATATTTGTAGAATGAAAAGAAAAGAAGACTTTTGAATTGAAGATACAAAAGTTTCCTGTTCAGTGAAAAAGGGTACTTTTGACATCTTTTGGGCAATGCATTAGGAAAGGGCCATTTGACATGAAAAACAATTAAGGGGTTAGTCACCAATTATCTTTATTTCCCCTCAGCATTTTCCTCAGCTACCCAGACTTAATGACCTGGGGACAGAGGGAAATAAGTCTCAGCTGAAATACATAGGTAACTGAATATATTTACTCAGTTATCACCTTCCTTCTTAGCTTATTCTCTAAGATCTGGCAAGAAAAAATGGGCAATTACATTTATATTTAGCTATATTGTGGCTGGGCTTTAAAATACTTAAGACATAAGTATCAGGCAATGCACTAGGCTCCATAGTGTCTCTAAGTTGACTTGATTTTTGTTTGTAAATTATCTTTATCCCCCCAAATGCCAGGTATTTATAACATATCTTGGGAAAAAATTAAAGTTTGAAATCTCAGAAAAACGGCTGGCAGGTGCAGAACATTCTTTAGCATTTCCCTAGATTTTCCAGTGTATTTATATCCATAAACATTCAACTACTAAAAATATATCTCTAGCCACCTATTTGTCTTATGGGGGAGGAGGATAGAGCCTTATTTGACCAGTTGGAAGCCCCAATGATAGGTTACTCCTTTCTCTTTACTGTGTAATAAAGGCATGAATGAATAAAACAATTTTTTTGCATGAGAATAACATGAAAGTTCAGGCTATAGTCTCATCCCAGCCTCACAAGGAAGCTCAGTTAATAAGTTCCATTCAAATTTTCTTAATCTGTTTTCTTGAAAGGTAAAAATTGATCCTGTGGCTTTCATTCTTGTCATGTAAGACCCTTAAACTTTCTGTTTCCCCTGTGATGTAGCCCTCATTTAAAATTGTAATAATATCTGGCACCATATAGAAATAAACCACAGGCACTAGCAATTTTGTATGCACATATATACTCTCAGTTTTTATTAAGATACTAAGGTTCTGCTGAGAGAAATATGAACTCATAAGTAGTAGTGCAATAAATAGGAATGAAATGATGGTATAAGGTTAAGAATACAATGAACGCGTTAAAGAGAAACAGGGGCATGACTGAGTGCTTTAACCTGTTTGGTAGTTTGAGGTCAAGGAGACTCCTTTTCTTTGTGAGTAGAAAGTCTGTGTCTCCAAGCAAGGCTAGGAGAACAGCTGGGCTCTAAGCAGCAGTGTAGTTGCATTTGTGGTGTACTTTTGCCTATGAGAAACCTGAGGCCTAGCGAGGTAAATACCCCACTTTCCCAAGTACTTTCTGGCTATTTAGTGGTAGACTTGGGATCTGAATCCATGATTCTGAACTTTTACATTACTGCTATTTCCATCCCTGACATCTAGAGATGTGTGTTCCAGTCATACACTTTTTATGCAAAAGAATTCAAGATGAGTTAGAGATGCTAACTCGCTGATTAGCTAGCAGTTATTTTTCTTACTAAAATATGTAATCAGAAAATTCGAAATCTCCAACCAGAAAAAAACTTCTAAGAGTGGGTTTCCCACATAAATGTAAACTGCCCCAAAACAAATAAACGAAGATAAGATATGTTTGGAAAGCATTAGCGTGTTTGCCACTCTCAATTAACAGGAAGTTGAGCTTGTGAAAAACACATAAGTACATTATATCCATTAGGCCAAGTGGGTAATTTAAAACTCTCACACATCTCCCAGTAATATGACACGACAGCATTTCCTGGCAAAGGGCCAGCTGATCCCAGACTGGCCTGAATACCCTGCTTTTTGTCAAGAAGAGGCGGCTCAAAGATGCCAGATCTTCCTTTGTGATTTCACCGAATTCTAGAATCAAAAGCCTTTTCCCTATGGAAAGAATACCAGTGAGGTTTTGGGAAAGATCTTCAAAGGAGTTTTACTAACACAAATGTTTGATGAAATCAGAATTGGTCAAATAATTATATTTTTCACATGTTACCTTTCTTTCATGGCTTCTTCATCTGTGAAAGCATGATATTACCTGTTCTAGTTGTTTCCTTTGGATATGCTTGGTCTTCTGAGACACATTGTAAAAAAAAAACAGGAATCTAGTACTAATAGATGAATCATGATACTATTTAAGAACAGCTTTTTAATAGAATCAGAAAATTTCTAAATGAGATTGTGATAATGGAAAGGGTTATTTTTAATGTAACTGAGAGCCTATTTATTAAGACGAAAAAGGTTGGAAATATTCAAATCCCATATAGTTGACTGTGAAAGTGAAAAATAGGAAAAAATATATCAATAAATGTTATTGATGAGAGCAGGAATTCTATTGTTAGGACCATATAATACTTTGCTAGATCTCCAACATTTACTGGTAAAGGGGAATTCTCTTTGCCTGATCTTGTTGTACAGCCAGTGTATTGCTGGGATCAGAGATACTGCTATGCAGGGCAGTCAAAAGCTGCAGGTAGAAAGCATCTTCATACTCGTTCATGTGTTCCAGTACAATGTCACTTTTCCAAAGACTTTCAGGCTGAGTAGCCTGTTGGTTTTCAGTTTGCTGTTGCTCTTACAATAATAATAATTTAAAAAGGCAGTCTTCATTTGGCTCATATACAATGACAATGTATATTAAAATCATAACAGGGGAAAAGCCATTCAGTCCAGAACCTTGGACTGAAAGAACATTGCCAAGGCCAATTTTAGGCAAAATTTGCTTTTGTTCCTGTCACCTCCTCTTTTTTTGCTACCCAGCTAGAGGACTCTGTGTTCTGTAGATTTACTAAATCCCTCACATGTCATCAACACTTTCTTGTTCAAGGAACCATTTCTTCTAGGCCTTGCTCTCTGACAGACTCTAGTGTTCGAACATGATAATCAAATCTATGTGAATATGTTAAAATACAAGTATGTTATTACTTGTACACAGTAAAAGGCACTATTATTTTAGTGGCAGCCTTCTAGAAATAATGACACAATGCAAAGGGAAGAGTTTAAAGCTAATAATTAAAGAAAAGACTATTTTCATGCTAATGAGAACTTTTAGTACTCACACTGTATCTCCACCCGACAGATTTCTGATATTTATTCACTCTCACTCGCCTTCCTATTTCAGGTAAAGGGGTCTGTAAAACCAAGAACAAAATGTGAGTAGATGCACTGGTACACTCTGAAAATGATTTATGCTTAAGTACTTTATGTTCCCTTAGTACTAAATGGAAGAGTGAGATAATATTATTCCTCTCTCAATTTCACTAATAGTTTTAATCTAAAAATTAGATTCTAATTATATACAGAAACTTGGCACCAAATTCATGATAATAGATTTAACTGCCATATTAATGAGAAAATTACAACTTGATGATAGTAAAGTGCTATTTTCCCCTTACAAACCCAAGTAACTGAACTAACCATCTACAGGCTGAATGTGATTTTTAAATATTTCAAAAGTCAGAGTATCTAAAATTTAAATATAAGTCAAGGTCTCTCAAGTTAAAACAGGACATAAGTAGTTCAGAGAGTCTCACTCAAAAAGTACGAGGTTATTTGGAAGCCATGGTTTATAAGGCAAAATAAATCCACAAAACCTCAAAATCTCTTGAAACTCACATTGGTTTGCAACATTTGACATGTACTGGCAAAACAAAAAGCATACAACTCTTTAAAAAGTTTCAGCAATTCACTTCTTGCACAAATTTGAAAATAACAGTTTATAGCATTGACAGCAATTCAGTGAATCTGTATAGTTTTTAAAACATAAATTTTCTCTTAGGGTATAGTGAAGTGAACCTTTTTTTGACTTTCGTTATGTTTGTGCTAAAATGTTAAGAAAGTGAGGTACTCATACTAAAGAAAGGACAGAAATCACTGCTTAGCAAATTCTATGACAATACGTTATGAACTGTAACAAAACTTTATGAATGTTAGCAGGAACAGTGCCAACTAAACTGTCTGTCTTACTCATGTGTCAAAAAAAATACATAAGAAAATGTATATCTCTGACGAGTTCTTTCCATCTACCTGTCATTGAAAATCTAATGACATCAATTCTCAAAAAGAATTGTTTGAAGAGAAAAATAATATGATGGAATACAACAATATTAACACAGAGGAAATCTTAACAATATTAACATTAGAGGAAATCTCTTCTTTATTATCTCTGGGAACAGATACTAAACTAGAAATAAAAAAAAAGAATACAGATATTTTCCCCATTGTTATAGAATACCCAAAATATGTGGAACTTCTGCTGTGAGTGAAGCATTTTTATGTGGAAATATAATAAATCAATATGTATAATATATTAATGTATATAAATAATATTAAAAGATAAATATAATGAATCCCAGTTAACTTAACAATAATTATATAAAATAATGATTTTTAAAAATACAATATTTTCTGAGCTGTTTATCTCAAGAATACAGTCCATTAAGAGAACAGAATACAGACAGGATATAATATTACCTTACGAGCATTCATCACTTTAACAGCTGTAAATGCACCAGTCTTTTGATGGAGTCCCTGAAACACAGGATAGTGATAAACATCAAGTGTTGGCTAGATAATCCAGCTATCAAGAAGCAAACAAATTAAAAATACTAAAATTAAATAAAGTCAAACACATTGCATATTATAAAATAAGCCATTATATACAGATTAAACGTAAGATATTATATAGAAAACAGAAATATTGAATTGTCAGCATTTTATACAAACTCCAACCATTTCACTCAAAAAAATCAAGCAAGTTTATAGAGTAGTTTTGCTTTTTATGTTTATATTAAATAGTAGACTTAATTGGCCATTTAAATTTATTGCTTACTTAGCATCTTCAGTCCGGGTTTAAATGGCACCAAAGCATCCGGATGAAAAGTGAGAATTTTCAATTAAAGATTGAGAAAAAGGAGATATTCTACTAAACATTTTCTTCAACTGATTATGTGGTACTATGCATACACATCTTTCCATTGGAACCCTGTTCATACACTTCATTTCACCATAATGATCACTGGTAAGATGATTCATAATTAATTCAATAACCTCTAAACTGTTTAATATGTCCTGAATCATATGAATCAATAATATTTATAAAAGAAATAAGTTCTGGAACTAAGTTATTGAAAATATGATGAGTTCTAAGGACTTAGTCTTATCCAAAATGCAAATTACAGACATAATTAAAAATATATAAATGTATAGGTTGAAATCAGAGCTCTTATTTTGTAGCTGGTACCTTTTAAACATATTTCAAGCTGTAGTCATAGAAAAAAATTCAGTCTGGTATTACCATGAGTATCTTAATCTTAAACAGAATATCTTACGTGATAGTTCTGCAGCAAAAGATTTGATTCTTGGGCTATACTGGGTTGAACGGTGTCCCCCCCAAATTTAGGTTCACCTGGAACCTCAGAATGTGACTTTATTTAGAAATAGGATCTTTGCAAAGGTAATCAAATTAAGATGAGGCCATAGTGGATTCAGTTGGTTAATGATTGGTGTCTTTACAAGAGAAAGGGAAGGGAGATTTGGACACAAAGACACAGACACATAAGATGGCCACATAGAAGACAAGAAGAAATTTGAGTGATGCAGCTATATGATTGCTGGCAACACCAGAAGCTAGGGGGGGGCAAGGAAGGATTCTCCTCAAAAGCCTACGGAGAAAGAATGGCCCTGCAGACATCTTGATTTCAGAATTCTAGCCTTCAGAATTGATAGAAAATAAATTTTTTTTTGTTTTTAGTCATTCAATTTGTAGTAATTTGTTATAACAGCCCTATGAAACTAGTACACAAGGACAGAAGGATGTAAAATAAGCAAGGGAATGGGCTTGGATTGGGATAAAGTTCAGAAACTGGTGATCAAGGTACTAGGAAATGTTTAGTATCGGGAGAGCAGTTTACAGTGAAACATGCTAGCTATGGGAGATTAGAATTTTTAAAGAAAAGGAAAAAGTTCCAGATTATTGACTGATCAGGCAAAAGTAGGAACCAAATATCAAGACCCACCTGTTTAACTTAAAATCTTGGGAAAAAAATATCAAAGTCAAAATAAAAAATCGAGGTTACATGAGAAATAGAAATGAGGCAGTTTGTAAGAATCAATCCATGAAGCAATAGCATCAAGTTCTACAAATAATCATCTCTTTTCATAGAGAACAATAAATTTCTTTGCAACCTCTTCATCCTGAATTTTGTTTTTAAATTTTTCAAAAGAGCATAAGCTTGTATTATCTTCTGTCACTTGTTTTAATTTGAGCAGCCTGTCTGCAGAGTGAAATTATTTTTGCAGGACACTATTAAAACAAGTTCTTAAGTGGTTAAAAAAATAGTTTTACACTGTTCTTTTTGTATGATTATGACAACCCCTGAACTTTAACTGAGTTTTAAAAAAATACTGAATAGTTGGAGACCCTCCAAATTTATTTACATCTCTGGGAGAAATTAAATATTAATATTTTTGGTTTAGCCCTTATTTATAACTTAGAAAGTATTGTTTTCCTAATTATTCATACAAACACTTCCTAAGGAAATATTTCCCACATCTGTATGCACAAATACAACATGTTCGGAATTTGTTCTCAAGAATCCCTTAAAGGAGTTAAAATGCTTTCTTCCTTGATTCTGAGACTCATAAGAGTCAAACTATTCTGTGCAATACAAAGTATTTGACATGTTAGCAAAGATATTAGCCACACATCTGATTTGACTGGTGGCCAACAAAATATAAAATTTTAAAAGTCTGAATCTACAGCCATCATAATTGTGACATGTATTAGTGAAATAACTGTCATTAAAAGTGCCACCCATGGCCATACAACACAAAAAAAACACAACTTGGTTCTACCCTCATTATCTGTGATGATTCTCACTTGAAAATTGCACAAAATTATTTTGTCAGACAATGTATCCTAATGTGGAGTTTGAAAAATATGCTCGTTGTGCCTACAGAGGAATAAACTCCCAGGTCTTGGAAACATGAATATGCCAAACAATTCTATAACCCTCCATAGAAGTCTAGAATATACAGATAATAGATAATGGAAAATTACTGATGTTAAGATAACATTTCAGAGATTTCCCCCTGTATCTTAACTTTTTAAAACTTTTATTTTTAAATAATCTTAGACTTAGAGAATAGTTTCAAAGGTAGCACAGAAAGTTCCTATATATTCATTACCCAGATTCTTCTAATGGTAACATCTTACATGACCATGGCACAATCATCAAAACTAAAAACTTAATATCAGTACAATACTCTTAACTAAATTATAGGCTTTATTCTGATTTCCCTAGTTTTTCCACTAATGTTCTTTTCCCAGGATCCAAACCAAGATCCCACATTCCATTATCTGTCATGTCTCCTTTAGGCTCCTCCAATCTTTTACAGATCCTCAGTCTTTCCTGTTTTTCATGACTATGACACTTTTTGAGAGTAGCAGTCAAGTATTTTGTAGAATGTCTCTCAAATTGGGTTTGGCTGATGTTTTCTCATGATTAGACTGAGGTTATGAGCGTGGGGGGAGGAATACCACAAAGGTAAGGTGCTCTTTTCATCTCATCATATCAGGGGTACATGATATCACCATGACTGATCAATGGTGATGTTAACATTGTTAGGGTAACATCTGCTAAGTCTCTCCATCGTAAAGTTACTATTTTTCCCTCTCATACTCTATTCATTAGAAGTGATTGACGTTGGTTTTAAAAAGGGATGAGACTATTCTTGAGCATCTATCTAGAGAACCCAGAAGTCATATTAAGATAATCTAATTGTTCAGTGGTGCCATTTTGTGGTTTACCAATTTTATGGAAGCTGTTTTGTGACCTTAGCTGAAGGCCATGTTTTCATAAACAGATTGTTTCCTTAGGTGAGATATTGAACCAAGACCTGAACATCCAGTTTTTAGAATCTGCCTTTTTTCTGTTACAATGTGTATTTTATGACAAATTAAAACACCATTTGTTTTAAACACACATAGAGGATGCTAAGAAAGTATTTTGAATACGGATTCTAGATTGAGTGTTAAATAAACTATCAATTGCCATTGTCCTTAGTGAATATTCGTGCAGGAAAATCACAATGGAAGCTTTAAGTGATAAATGTGGATTTTTTGTTTTTCCTACCAACAATATCAGTAATACCATATAGGATACACTAGCTGCACTGGATTAGCAATGTTCCCTTAAACAGTTTGAGTGAGAAAAATCACCTCTTAAAATGTTTGTAACTAACACAAAAATTGTATATTTATGGAGTGTAACAAGATGGTTTTATATACACACACACACACACACACTCATTGTGGAATGGCTAAATCAAGCTAATTAACAGATGCATTACCTCACATACTTATTACCTTTGGGGTGAGAATACTTAAAATCCACTATCTTAGCAATTTTTAAGTATGTAACATATTGTTATTGACTATAGTCATCATGATGGGCAATAGATCTCTTAAAATTATTCCTTCTGTCTAACTGAAATTTTGTCTTTTGACCAACATCTCCCTAAGCCCCTGCTCCACATCCTTCCCTCCCTCACCCCAGACCCTAAGTAACCACCATTCTACTCTCTGTTTCTATAAGTTCAACTTTTTTAGATTCCACATATAAGTGAGATCGTCTGGTATTTGTATTTCTGTGTCTGGCTTATTTTACTCAACATGACGTCCTACAGGTTCATCCATGTTGTCACAAATGACAGGATTTCTTCCTTTTATTAATAATTCTGGAGGATCACAGAGCAAGGACAAGAAACATTTCGTAGTTCTCATTCTCATCGTAAAAAAAGAAACTGCAGCTTACATCTTTGGTACAAGTTCACAGGCTCTCTCATATTTGAGGAACAGAAAATAACATATAGTAACAATGCTTTGTAACCATTGCTAACTCTAGGCTCAAACCTACTGACATTTGGGATCAAGAAGTCTACTATCTTCATCTCAGGCAATTTTTTGTCTGGTCATCAAATTCTTTCAACTTATTCAAGTTTAGTTATTAATAGATGAAGCTTATATGTTTTGATTTTAGGGGCAACAGAAGGTCAACTACTCGAAAAATTTTCCCTGTACCCTACAACCTGCTACAAAGTATAAAAATCATTCATTAAGTCCTGTCCTCCATTTTATTAGAGTAATGAAACTCCCTGATTATTCAAGTATTAGCTGAGAGAAAGACACGTTAATTATTATTTGTCATTAACATTTTAGCATGAGTTGGAATATCAGGTAAGGTAAATGCAACAACGGCAATGAACAGGTGAATTTTGATGGAAGGAGAATGTGAAGGAAAGGACTGGGGCAGAGGAATATCAGGAGAAGTTCTTCCTCAGCCATAACGAATGGAGCAGGTGCGTAAAATGGGGAGGAGGGAAATGGTGAGTGAGAAGGGATTCTCAAAGTGTGAAAGGAGTTTAACAAAGGGGGGTGGGGATGAAGAGGTAGAGAGATAAACTGTTCCAAGTCACAATTTTATTGGAAAAATTACAGTTTTTAAGATGTATTCACCTGAAAAAATTAG